GAAATGTCTGCTGTCATTCTTATCTTTAATCCTCTGTGTGTAATATTTCCTCTTAAAATCTGCCTGATTTTAAGGTTTTCTCTTCATCACCAGTTTTCAGCAATTTGATTATAATGTGTCTCGGTGTGATTTTCCTATGTTTCTTGTGCTTGGTATTCACTGAGAATTTTGGATCATTGAGCATCTTGGATCTATATGTTTATAGTTTTTATCCGGTTTGAAAAATTCTCAGTCATTATGTTTTCAAATATTTTTTCCGTGTGTCCCTATCTCTTTTATCTTCTGTGATTCTAATAATACATGTTTTGGGGGTGCCTGGGTGGCTCAGATGGTTAAGCATCTACCTTCAGCTCAGGTCATGATCCCAGGGTTCTGGGATCAAGCCCTGCATTGGACTCCCTGCTCCACAGGGAGCCTGCTTCTCCCTCTCCTTCTGCTGTGCTCCCTCCTTGTGCTCTCTCACTCTCTGTCATATAAATAAATAAAATCTTTAAAAAAAAGAAAGAGTAATACATGTTTTAGGCTGTGCAATGCTGTCTTATAGTTCATTGATATTCTCTTCATTTTTAAAACTTTTGTACTCTTTGTGTTTCATTTTTGCTCTTTTCTATTGCTCTATCTTCAGGTTCACTGATCTTTTCTTTTTTTCAGTTTAATAAAGTATAATTGACAAGTTAAATTGTAAGATAATTGAAGTGTACAAAGTTTTATTTTATTTTTTGTTTTCATTTCAATTTTTATTTAAATTCCAGTTAGTTGTCGTATACGTTAACATTGGTTTCAGGTGTAGAATTTAGTGATTCATCACTTACATAAAACACCCAGTGTTCATCACAACAAGTGCCCTCCTTAATACCCATCACCCATCTAGTCCATCCCCCACTCACCTCTCTCCATCAATCCTCAGTTTGTTCTTTATCACTAAAAGTCTCTTATGGTTTGCTTTCCCCTCTCTGTCTCACTCTCTTTTTTCCCTTTCCCTTATGTTCATCTTACAACATCTTACAACATGATGTTTTGATACAATTTCACAGATGTATACATTGTAAAGAATTTTCTCCCATCAAGTTAATTAATATTGATTACTTCAAAGATATCAATTTACCTTTTCTAAAGTAATATTTTCTTTTTTAGTGTCTATTCTATTGTTATTCCCATCTGAACATTAAATCTTCAATCTCTAGAAGTTCTCTTTAGGTCTTTTTAAAGTTTTTCCATTTCTCTCATTATGTTAATGCTTTATTCTATCTTCTTCAGCTTTTGGAGTAAATTTATGATAGCCATTTTAATATCTTTATCTGTTAATTCTATCACCTGTGTCATTTCTGGGTCTCTTCTATTGATTTTTCTCTTCATTATGGGTCATATTTCCCTGTTTCTTTGCCTGCCTGATAATTTTTGTTTGGATATTATATATTGTGAATTTTCTGTTGTTGGGTGCTGGAATTTTTTATTCCTTTAAATGTTTTTGTATTTTGTTCTAGGATTTAGTTAATCATAGACTTTGATCCTTCCGAGGCTTGTTTTTAATCTCTGTTAGGTGGGTGGACTAGGATTATCGTGGACCCACTACTAAGACAAGATTCTTCTGAGGACTCTATTTGATGCCCCGTGTGTAAGGAGGTTTGTCCACTCTAGCTACTCCTAACCTGATGTAGGATTTGGGGATTTTTCCGCCTGTTTCTTTCCAGTGGTTCTTTCTTGGTAGTTTTATGTACTAATCAGTATTCAGTTAAAGATTCAAGAGAGTTCTACTTCATATCTCTGGAGCTTTCTGTCTGTATTGCTCTCTTCTCCACAGTAATCCACCCTATGAATTCTAACCATCTTGGGCTTCCCAAACTCTGAACACTGTCTTTCAACTCAAGGAGACTGTCAGGCTCTGTATAGATTTCCCCTCCCTGTATAGTGGCCTGGAAACTCTATCTAGGCAACAGGAGGGGGTAATTTTAGGGCTTACCTTGTTTGTTTCCCTGCTTTCAAGGATCATTGTCCTATACTATTTTCCTATACCTGAAAATTGTTGTTTCATAAATTTTGTTTGGTTTTTTAATAGCTTAACATCAGAGATAAATCTGGTCCCTGTTACTCCTATTCCTACATGGCTGGAAGTACAAATCTTCCACATCCCTCACTTGAAAAATAAAAAGTGAAACTATACAAACTACAATCAACCTGTGTGTATAGAAGTTTAAAATGGAAAGGGTCTGAGACCCAGTGAGACCCACCTACATGGATGAATACTTTTTTTTCTTACTCAGGCAAAAAACATTAAAATAAAAGTGAAAGGATTTAAAATCTTAGAATATCAAAGCAGCCAAGACTTTTTAATCCTCTAGTTCACTTCCTTCATTTGGTATATGAGGAAATGAAATCTTAGAGATGTTAAGGAACTATCAAAGGTCTAATTAGTACTAAGCAGAGGTGGGATCAAAACTCAAGTCTCCTGACAAACTACCATTAAACCATGCCACCTCCATTCTGCCCCAAAATAACCACTTATCAGGTGCCATTAAGTACCACATGTCAATATTTTGTAAGCATAATTTCAAACTTCCTGACAACTCTAATAGTGTCGTTGTAGGTATTACCATTATCGCCATTTTACAGATAAATAACCTGAAGCTCAAATAGTTCAAATAATTTATCCAGTAGTTCTCAAAATGTGGCCCTTAAAACACTTCTCTGGGTCTCCTAGGTGAGGCTTTCTTCATGATAAGATTAAGATGTTGTTTCTTTGTTGTTTTTACCATGTTGACACTTGTGCTAGAGATTTAAAAACAAAGGTGAGCAAAACCACTGACATCTTACCATGAACCAAGGTGATGGCACCAAACTATACTAGTAGCTTTTGTTTTTTCACTGTGTACTTCCAGTTTTTTTTTTTTTTTTAAGCAAATTTCACTTAAGAATGCTCCTAATGGGGCACCTGGGTGGCTCAGTGGGTTAAGCCTCTGCCTTTGGCTCAGGTCATGATCTCAGGGTCCTGGGATTGAGCATCACATGGGGCTCTCTGCCGGCAGGGCGCCTACTTCTCCCTCTGCCTGCTTTTCTATTTGTGATCTCTGTGTGTGTGTGTCAAATAATAAATAAAATCTTTTAAAAAAAAGAATGTTCCTAATGGAACAGTAGAAGTTATTTGTTCCATTAATTATTGATCCTTAAGATGCTGTTTTGTTATTTCATGTGACAAAAAGGTCAGTACAACTTAAGGCACTTCTACTACCTTAAAGGCAAATACTTGTGTGATTGAGTTGTCAGCTGTACTTGACTTTTTCCCCACAAAACATTATTTAGAATTGAAATAATAATTGACAAACTATGGTTAATCATACTTGATTATGTGGTGGACATTTTCTCAAAAATAAACAAAAATGAACTTATCACTTCAAAGAAAGCAAATGACAATATTTATTGCCAATAATCAGATAAACTTTAAGGGAAAAATTGAGATTTTTATAAAACTTGTATCCTCTACCATGAACTTGACAGCTTCTTGAAGAATACTTCAAGACTTTCCTGATTAAGTTGGTAGAGATATTAACAAGTCTGATTTTGTAGTGTATTATATAATGAAATATGTCATTTGGAAGATCTGCATAATTCAGTGGAATATTTTCAAAATGACCAATGCCACAAAATCATGGATGTAAAAGATACATTCAGATTGTGGGCTAGAAATATATTTTAATGTAATAGAATATCAAACAGTTCACCAATATGATTTCAGATTTTATATGGCAACTAACCTTTAAGAAACCATCTTTTATCAAGATTGGATCAAAGAAGAATATCCAGAAATTATTTGAAAAGGCTACAAAGTGCTCTTCCACATTCCAACTCTATATCTGTGTGAATCTGTATTTTCTTCATATACATCAACTGAAAACATGTGACAATGCAGAAACAGATAAGAGAATCCAGCTGTCTTTTATTAAACCAGAGAATAAAGAGATTAGCAAAAGTGTAAATAATGTCACTCTTCTCGCTAAATTTTTTTGAATATAGTTTTTCCATAAAAATGTTTTTTATATTAATATATAAAAAGTTTATTAAATGAGTTAGTAAATAATTGTTTCCTATTTTTCTCAGTTTTAATTTTGAATACAGTAAATATCTTGAAAGAAGTTGCTGTGGCCGATGTCAAAAAGGTTATGTTCTCCTATGTTCTCACCTATGTTCTCCTCTAGGATTCTGAGGGATTCCTGCCTCACGTTGAGGTCTTTTATCAATTTCAAGTTTATCTTTGTGTATGGTGTAAAAGAATGGTCAAGTTCCATTCTTCTACACATAGCTGTCTAATTTTTCTCAGCACCATTTATTGAAGAGACTAGACTGTCTTTTTTCCACTGTATATTTTTTTCTGCTTTGTCGAAGATTAGTTGACCATAGAGTTGAGGGTCCCTATCTGGGCTCTCTACGCTGTTCTATTGGTCTATGAATACAATAAATATCAATCCACATTAACAAAAGCTCTTTAGGTTTCTCAATAAATTTTTACCAAAATGTTTGAGAAGTACTGATCTTAAATAACACCCCTGGGAAGTGGTAAAGCCAGGTCTCTTCTTGTCTGTCTGGCCTTAAACCCCTGTTGCTTCCATGGCACGCTGTTACCTTCTTACCCAAAAGTCTCATTAGTATTAAAATGGGAAATAGAATTGGGGCCCCAAAGCTTTATTATGCAATGTCTTTTTCCATAATATTTATTTTTCAATGTTTAGTATTTTTCTTTGCTGAAGCATGAGTTTCTAGACCCTAAAATTTTAGAACTCTGTTAGGGACTCAAGATGATTATTTTTTACTATTGAATAAAAATGAAATGGTGTTTCTCAGCAGTCAGCTGATGCCAGAAGTAACAATATTTTGCATTTTATATTCTATATAAAGGCCAAACAATTGGAAGATGTTCTTTATTAGATTTTTAAAAACAGAAGTGATTCTGGTTCTTTGGCACCAGGCTTATTTTTCATCTACTTGGTGCTAAGCCCTGAGAATTAAATTTAGGCTTTGGGGGGAACAGCTTTGCTTGGGGACATTCTCAGAAGGAAATCTTGCATGCCTCTCCGCAGCACTGCATTTTCAGCAACCTCCTGCAGGCTTCTGTGTAGCTTTTCCATCTCCTTGTATTCACTTTTGACATCTACAGAAGAACAAAATGCATACATCAGGAATTAGTGTCCTTTTCAGAAATGTCCACAGAAAACAAATCTCCTAAGGATCTCATCGCTTGTCCCAGAATGTGATATCTGGGATGAAACTTAGAGATCAGATAGTCTGATCAATTTATTTTATTAAAAAACCTGATCAAACTGGGCATTCATGCTCTTACCTTAAGGCTTATCTCAGCCTAGGGGTCACCCTCCAAAGAAACACAAACCTACCCATAAAAAGGTCCAGGAGATCACTGGGTCTTTACTAAGTCTTTGCAAGAGCTCAGTGAAAGGAGATACAAACCCCAGCACACAATAAACCTCCCCTAAGTCCTCTCCAGGCTTCTCTCTCCTTCCTATGACCCTCTGCTCTCAGCAGTTCTCATTCTAGGTGAATTTCTCTGTTTTGGCCTCTTGGGTTTTCACCTCATGAATGGCAATCAAATTATATCCTTACGATGGTGAATTTTAGGTGTCAACTTGTCCGGGCTGTGGTGCCCAGATATTTTGCCAAACATTATTCTGGAAGTTTCTGTGAGCATATTTTTTTAATTTATTTTTTATTTTTTATAAACATATAATATATTTTTATTCCCAGGGGTACAGGTCTGTGAATTGCCAGGTTTACACACTTCACAGCACTCACCATAGCACATACCCTCCCCAATGTCCATAATCCCACCCCCTTTCTCCCAACTCCCCTCCCCCCAGCAACCCTCAGTTTGTTTTGTGAGATTAAGAGTCACTTATAGTTTGTCTCCCTCCCGATCTCATCTTGTTTCATTTATTCTTCTCCTACTCCCTTAACCCCCATGTTGCATCTCCACTTCCTCATATCAGGGCATATTTTTGAATAAGATATTCATTTAAATCAGCAGACCTTGAGTAAAGCAGACCATCCTCCACAACATGGATGGGCCTCCTCTAATTAGGTGATGGTCTAGCCATATCAAATGTTGGTCTCCCGCAAACAAGAGGGAATTCTCCAGAAGACCACCTTTAGACTTCATCAGCGATGTTAGCTCTTCCTTCTTCTACAGCAAACTGCTTTGTACTTGAACTCAATCAAGTCTTTCCTGTGTGTCTAGCCTGTTGGCATCCCCCACAGATTTTGGACTAAGCAAACCTTCACATTCATATGAGCCAAGTTCTTAAAACAAATCTATCTTTCCATCTGTTTATCTATCTCTTCACACATATTCATATCCTATTGGTTCTGTTTCTCTAGAGAACTCAGATTAATATGGCCCTCTTTGAGGGACACTTCAGACTGGCCCTGGGGTTGGTTCTGGCATTGCTCCTGAATGCTTTTCCAGTCCACCTGGGCTCTACATGTTCCATAGCATTACCCAGACTCACCCACCCTGAGCCTGGCCGGTGATGATACTCATGACCAAGAAGGGTATTAGAACCTTGAGTCTATCTGTCTTGCTCCTGAGTCTGGAAAGTCTCCCTTCTCCTCACTGCTTCATAAATCCAACCTATCTTTTCAGGCTCTACTCCAGGACCCAGATTATATGAAACTTCCCCCAAGATCCTGGTGCTGAATAACCACTGTCTTCTGAATAATCTGGTGGCCAACTGCGTTCCCTCTGTCAGGTTTTTGGCTTTTTTTAAATGTCACATTCCTAGTGAGACCTTCCTTGATTACCCACTCCCAGCCCTCCCTCTCCCCTTCTCTGCTTTATTCTTCTCCATAGAACTTACTACCTTTTGCATGTCACATATTTTATTTATTGTTCTGCTTATTGCCTGCCTTCTGCTCACTGGACTGGAAGCTCCATGAAGGCAGAGATTTTTGTCTTTTTTGGTCACTGCAGTATTCTCGACACTGAGAATACTACTCAATACCTAGGAGGTCATTATAATCACTTGTGCAGTGAATGCATACTATCTTCTATTTTAATTTACATGATCACACATCTTGTTTTACCAAGCAGGTAAGACTCAGAGCAGGGACTGTTATAGACCTCTTTGGCCCCTGGCACAGTACGCCCTACATAGTATATATCTGCCGTTGATGGAAAGAAAGGGAAATGATCTTAAATTATGGCAGGAGCAATTTACATCAAATTCAGGGGAACATTTTTTTTTTGTGGGAGACCTGGGCAGTTGGAAGACCTTTGGCGAGTAGGAGTTCTTTATTCTTTTTTTAAAGATTGTATTTGTTTATTTATTTGAGAGGGAGTGAGAAAGCAGGGAGAGGGGCAGAAGGAGAGGGAGAAGCAGACTCCCCATGGATCAGGAAACTTAACAAGGGGCTTGATCCCAGAACCCTGGGATCATGACCTGAGCCAAAATCAGACACTTAACCAACTGACCTACCCAGGAGCCCCAGGAGTTCTTTAAAGAAGACATAACTGGATGACTATAATTTTGAAACAGTTTCCTGTGAAGGCCTAGTCAGAAGGTCATGAGAGAGTTCAATAAAGTATAGTATAAGGGAGTTTTATCACCTTCCTGGGAGACTATTGGGCACAGGTTAGATGTCTTTCTCACCAACCAGAGACAGAGAGTAGTAAGTTCCAGAGCAAGAGAGAAGTGTAAGATAGATGCTTAGAAGCAGCAGCTGTGGCTTTTACTCTGGAAATAGCTCTGACCACTTTCTTTTTTTTTATTATTATTATGTTATGTTAGTCACTATACAGTACATCATTAGTTTTTGATGTAGTGTTCCATGATTCATTGTTTGTGTATAATACCCAATGCTCCATGCAATAAGTGCCCTCCTTAATACCCGTCACCAGGCCAACCCATCCCCTCACCCCCTACCCTCTAAAACCCTCAGTTTGTTTCTCAGAGTCCACAGTCTCTCATGGTTTGTCTTCCCCTCCAATTGACCCCTTCATTTTCCCCTTCCTTCTCGTAATGTCCTCCATGCTATTCGTTATGTTCCACAAATAAGTGAAACCATATGATAATTGACTTTCTCTGCTTGACTTATTTCACTTAGCATAATCTTCTCTAGTTCTGTCCATGTTGATGCAAAAGCTGGGTATTCATCCCTTCGGATAGCTGAGTAATATTCTGTGCATATGGACCACATCTTCTTTATCCATTCATCTGTTGAAGGACATCTTGACTCCTTCCACAGTTTGGCTATCATGGACATTGCTGTTATGAACATTGGGGCGCATATGGCCCTTCTTTTCCCTACACCTGTATCTTTGGGGAAAAAACCCAGTAATGAAATTGCCAAGTTGTAGGGTAGCTCTTTTTAAAAATTTTTTGAGGAAGCTCCACACTGTTTTCTAAAGTGATGGCACCAAGTTTCATTCCCACCAACAGTGTAAGAGGGTTCCCCTTTCTCCACAGCTTCTCCAAAGTTTGTTGTTTCTTGCCTTGTCAATTTTGGCCATTCTAACTGGTGTAAGGTGGTATCTCAATGCGGTTTTGATTGAGTCTCCCTGATGGCTAGTGATGATGAACATTTTTTCATGTGTCTGTTAGCCATTTGTATGTCTTCATTGGAGAAGTGTCTGCTCATGTCTTCTGCCCATTTTTGACTTAACTATTTGTTTTTTGGGCATGGAGTTTGAGAAGTTCTTAATAGATCTTGGATATCCCCCTTTGTCTATAGCATCATTGGCAAATACCTTCTCCCATTCTGTAGGTTGCCTCTTTGTTTGGTTGACTGTTTCCTTTGCTGTGCCAAAGCTTTCACTGTGACATACTCAATGACATACAGCAATGACATCAGGTCAATTTTTTTTCCAGCAGGCAACTGTGCCCACAGTTTAAAATTTAAAAGGCACAAAAGAGTGGTGCCTCGGTGACTTGGTCAGTTAGTGACTAACTCCTGATTTGGGCTCAAGGTCATGATTTCAGGGTGGTGGAATTGAGCCCCACATCAGGCTCGACACTCAGTGGAGAGTGTGGAGAAGAGAAGGAGATTCTCTCCTCCCTCTGCTCCTACCCCCCACCACAATCATGCTCATACATGCATGCTCTCTCTCTTTCTAAAATAAACGAATAAATCTTTAAAAGAATAAAAATATTTTTTAAAAAGACACAAAACATACAGACTGCAAAATAAATTTCCCACCTTCCCTGTCCTCCAGGCTCCTGGTTCCTCTCCTTAGAGATAGCCAGTGTGGCCAGTTTCTTGTGTATCTCAGGAGATTTTTATGCCTATACATATGTGTTTCCTTTTCTTCCCTCACAGATGGCAACATATTACACACAGTTTTTCACTTTGCCTTTTTTCACTTTACCATATATTTTGGAGATTGTTTCATACTGCTACTCTGCATTAAAAAAAAGCCACTTTATTCTTTCTAGCAATTGCACGGTCCTCCACTAGTTGTGTACCTAAGTTAACCAGTGCTCTACTAATGGATATTTGAGTTGTTCCAATGTTGACATCATAAGCAACACTGCCCTGAATAACTTCGTCTACGTGCCATTCTGCACATGTATGAGGATACCATGGGATAAAATCCCAGAAGTAGGATTGCTGGGCCAAAGGATATGTGAATTTTTAATTTTACTAGACATTTCCCAATTGCTTTTTGCACTAGTTTACCCTCTCCAGTTTATACCAGGAGGTCTGTTGGAGCACACAGCAAGGAAGAGATTTGATTACATGCAACAAGACATAGGCAGCTGGTCATGCATCCCCAGTCTCCTGGGAGATGAAGAGAAACCTTTCTCTAGCACCACCAGAAAATGAGGCTTTTCATCTACTTCAAAGAATGGGTTTATGGAGGTGGCAGAGTGGAGTTATCGATTTGAATTTGCCACTTTCCAGCTATGCATCTTTGGGCACATTATCTAATCTGAGTCTCTGTTTCTGGACGTGCAAAATGGAGCATTACCATCTCCCTCTGAGGGCTAATATGAGAACGCTATGAGATGTTGCACACAAAGCCCGAGTATAACATGTGGTCTTGAGTGGGTGCTCCACAAAGGGTGGGGCAGCCATGACCTTCTCCATCCCACGCCCTGGAAATTCTTCCTAACTTGACTTTTTTAAATCCAGCAAAGGGCAACCACAGCTAGGGGGTGTCTTCGAGGTCACCGCTTATGCAAAAGTTTTATGTATTCACCTGCAAGCTCCTTGTAGAGACCATCCCCCTGGGATGAAGCGAGAGTCAGCATGGTGGCGATACTGCCCTTCACTTTCTCCGTGATTCCATTCTATACAACAAAACATGGTCATTCTGTTAGGATGGCACAGCCCAAGGGAAAGTTCAGATTATGAAAGGGAACCCACCTAATCCTGCAACCAGAGAGTGTATAGACTGGGGTTGCTAAAATCAAAGTCAATTCCAAGGGTGGGCCACCTTAGCACACAACGAATGGCTCAGGAGTCATCAGGGCAACGTTTCTGGCGGTTCCACTTGTCTCAGCATCTCCTTTCCTGCCTATCAAGACTTACAGGGGATTGGACCTCTGGTGCTGCCCAACTGAGTCAGGAGCTAAGGAGGCTTCATGGAGGTAGAGGGAGTGGGAGAGAACAGCATTTACAGAGATGGAAAAAGAGGGAAAGTGCTGGTCACTAACCACCAACATTTTGCTCATTTGGCCACTGGATATATGTTTACTGAGTACCTGCTTTGTGCGGCACACCACACTTGACATTCCTGATGCTCTGTCCCCGCTGCATAAGAAATGTCTTCTTTCTTATTTCAGTCCTGCAACCAATGAAAACCCTTTGCCCTCTTCTAACCATTTCTTGACTACCTTTGAAAAATACCTGACTCTTCCCTTTAGCCTCACACAGCCTCATTTTAAGGCTGGATCTCCTCACTCTTGCTTTTTGTCTTCAACACATCAGGCCAAGAACCCTAAGCTCTAGTCTCAGGTCTAGCTGTGAGCCTTGAGCTAGTAATGTAGGCCATCTGGGCTTCAGCCCCCTTGTCCATAAGATCAGGGAATGGGGATGCTCTGTGGCCTTGCCCAGTTTCAACTTTCTACATTCTGTCATTTAAGATGCATTTGTACATGGTCAAGGTACAAATCACTTTTTTTTTTTTTTAGTGGAGTTGTTTTTGGGGAGCTCCTTCAGGGCCAATTTCTATACACCCAATGAGGACCACGTGCTGTAGGGTTTGGCCAATTTTCTGCATGTGTTTGTAGACTGTGATAATATGTTAAATGACAGAGAGTAAACTGCTACTGGCAAATGAGATACCTCTTAGCCTATTCCAAGAGAAATGATATGCTTCATATTGTGGAGAAAGGTATTTTTCCAAAAGCACATTGGGGTGGGGGACAGGGGCAAAGGGCTGAGCAGAAGCGGGGTGGAAACATTTGAGGACGTAGGTTGGTTCAGAGGTGAATGGAAAAAACAACTAGCCTGGTTCCTTAGCTGTTTAGGAGAGAGTCAACTAAGACCCAACCGAGGCAGAAGACCATGGAAACTCACATGGCCAGGAGGGGCCAACAGTGGCTTGAACAAAAACAAAGAACTTGTATTACTTGGGAAGGTTGTGGTCTGCAAAGAAAACCAGAAATCAGACACGATGGCCCAAGGGTACTTGATAGATGCTTTAGTTTCAAGGAAAGTGTCAGGAACTGTTTTCTGACATAAACAGAATCAAACCTAGATTCTCTGCTCAGTGTCATACCTGACTGACCTATAATAGTTTATTGGCATTGATTGATTGATTGATATGTTTTGCAGACCAGACATTTCCCTCATTAAAAAAGGAAAAATCTGCCTGGAGATTAGCTACTGTGGGAGATCCTGGAGCCAGGTTATCTAGTCCCAGATCCTAGTGCTGCAACTTCATAGCTATGGGGCCTGTTGCTACATCTCCCTCTCTCTGCCTCAGTCTTCTTACCTGTAAAATGGGAACAACAATAGTGCCTACCTCACGGGCTTGCTGGGGGGTTAAATGAGCTCATGTACGTCAAGAGGTGAGGACCCCCATCTGGTATCACAGCTGATGACCCAGTAAGGAGGAAGGGTGTGAGAGAGAGCCGGAGGGGCTGCGTTTCTGAAGTCACACCCCACAGAGACCCTGTGCATTTGGGCACAGTGAAGGGACAACGTGCAGCGCCAGCTGGTCTTCTTTTTTGGTGTCATGGGCATGAATTCCACCTCCCCCACCCCCTGCAGAAGCCATCGGCTCTACATGGGCCCGAATGACTTACTACGTCTCCCATTTCTGTATCCTCTTCTTTGACTCCCCAAGGGGCCCGACTGGAGTTCAGACTATGAATGTGTCATACCTTCAGTAGCTGAAATTGGTGCCGCATCCTTTCTTGAGCTCTTTCAAACATGCCCTCGGCCACCTGCTGCTCCACCCCTCTTCTGAGGACATCTTTCATCCTCTCACATGCTTTTTTGCCAGAGATCTGAGCTGCCTCTGGCAAAAATGATAGCCATGGTCACACCACAGCAAGGACTTGCTCAGACATCTTTAGCATCAGAAAGAAAGGTAAGCAAACAAAAAATATATATACACAGAGTATACAGAGGTCTGCATCCATAAACACACACACACACACACACACACACACACACACACATTCACATACGCAGCACCATTTTCCACACAGTGGAAACTGTTTAATAATCGCATGGTAGAAAAAAATCAACACTCTCCATATTTAGGTAACTATCATTCAGAAAATCTAATGAGTGAATTAAACAGAAGTTTACAAAATTCCAGTGTCCCCCACCAGAAAAATAAATGGGACCGCCAAAATGAGAAGGAGTTGGAAAAAGGGTTTACAAATAATTCAGGGGCATAAGAATGAGAATTGGATAAGGGGTTTTATAGTTTAGTTAGCTGAGATGCAGCAAGGACAGGAGAAGCAAGATGAATTGACAAAGAAAGGGTGGTCAGAAAGTACTGGAAACATACAGATAAAAGATGACTCATGCATCACCTCTCCCCCACCCTTGCAATTACTTGGTTTTCAGTTCATGGAGTAAATGTCTGAGAAGGACTAAGGATACAGGAGAGCAAATGCTTTGAGGGGGAAAGCAGAAAAAGATGCTGCCGAAGAAGCTGACAGAAAGACCCCAGAGGGAGTGGACGGGTTGCCCTCCGGAGCCCCTACCTTCATAACAGGGCTTCAGGTCATTCTGAACAGAAGTGGTGAGAGATTCATAGATCCTCCTCTTCTTTCTGAGGATGTAATCCTCTAGGCCTCCCAGGATGGCGCTTATCTGCGAATCCGCGTTAACAAAAGGCCATTGGTGCCAATTCCTTCCACAGAAGCAGGTCAGGGGCTCCCGCGTGTGGTCACCTTTTCCCTCCACCTTATATTATGCTTGGCCGTCCACATGGCATTTCCTCCACTAGGCTGTGAGCTTCTCATAGGCAGGAGCTTTGTCTTAAGGGGGAGGCACAGGACTGTTCTCTAGCGTTGCCGTGTCATTTGGGCTGGGCCTGTGCTATGGGCCTAATATCTGTGTCACCCAACATTCATGTATTAAAATCTGAATCCTCAAGGTGATGGCATGAGGAGGTGGGGCCTTCGGGACATGATTAGGTCATAAGGACGGAGCCCCCAGGATTGGGACTATCCTCCTTACAGAAGAGATTCTAGCAAATTCCTCTGCCCCTTCCACTATGTGAAGTGACAGTGAAAAGACAGTCATCTATGAACTGGGAAGTGTACTCTCACCAGGCACCAGATCTGCCTGTACCTTGACCTTGCACCTCCAGCCTCCTGTGAGGAATACATTTCTGTTATTTATAACCTACCTAGCTTATGCTATTTTGTTACAGCAGCCTGAACAGACTAAGACAGCCTAAAGGAAAATGGGTCACAGAGAAGAATCTTGGCTACTCAGAATTTAAAAATGATCTGCAAGAAAAATGACATGTCTTTTAAGTTTCACTGCTTTAGATAATACTTTATAATTTTGGCAAAAATGATAGAAGGTTAGTGAAAGTGTTACAGGTGCATTCTAGTGTTTGTACATCTCAGGATTCTTTGGAGATTCTTCCTAGACACTGAGTCTCCTTTCCAACCTCAGCACTCCGCTGGTTGCCTCGAAAAGGCACAGAGCCCACCCGGTATCCCACCCCCCACACCCCCGCGGCAGTCTCAGGGCCACTCTTCCCCACCCCATCCCACTGTGCTTTGTGCCCCAGACCACCTGCTGTGAGACATGCCCAGACCTGGACACTCCAGGGGAACAAGGGGGGAGAGGCCCATAACATGTTCAAACTCCTGCTGGGAAGAAAGCACTGCCAACCTCACTGCCCTCTCCCCTTTACGACAATCTCACCTCCTGGATCAGGAAACTTTTTTTGTAGCTGTCATATTTCCAGCCATTTCTTACTCCAATTTCCATCATTTTCTCCAGTAGGGAGTGCTTAAAAGCTTCTATGTGAGGCAGCAAAGTGGAACCAGTGGGCATTCCAGCTCTACAGAAGAAACAAAATAAAATGTTAAGGGACAACAGTGGCTACTGTGGGGCTAAAACAAAGAAGGAACTAGCTGGTCCCCCTTTCATTCGCTTTTAAGCCAGGGGGATGAGAACCAACAGTTATGGAGTTCCTATCGTGTGCCAGGCACTGTGCTGGGCCAGGTCCTGGACATCAAAGCCTATGAAACCAGTGTAGTGATGCCCATTTTACAGACAAGAAAACTGAGGTTCAGAGACGATTGCTGATGTGTGCCCAGCCACATGGCTAGTAAGTGACAGAGCCAGACTTTGGACACTGATCTGTTCAACCTCAAAAGTCAGTCTCCCCGCTGCTAGGGGGTTTCCACTTGAAAGGGTGAGACTTCAGAGATGCAGAAGATTTGGGAAAGTAAAAAGGAGGAGGAGTTATTTCCTGTGGGGACAAGACAATGAATGAAATTTCAGAATCTCCCAAGAATAAGAAACAGCCGGTTATAGAGGAGAGGGCATAGGTTTAAAATCCTGGCTCTCTGCCCCTGAGCCAAGTGACCCTGGAAAAGCTACATCAAGTCCTCTGAATCTCAGCTTGTCCCTTGTAAATGGCCAGAAGCTACTTGGGAGGGCCATTGAGAGATCTAATGAGATCATGCATGCACAGCGCTTAGCACAGGTCCTCACACCTGTCAGTTGCTCTCTGCAACCCTCCAGGCTGGTTGGAGCTGGGGGCGGGCACGGAGCAACAGGGTGGGCAGAGGGAGGAAAGGCCAGCTGGAGGCAGGTAGAATGTCTTGAACTGCATCTTTTTTTTAAGATTTTATTTATTTATTTGAGAAAAAGAGATCTGGGGGAGGGGCACAGAGAGAGAGAGAGAGAGAGAGAGAGAGAGAGAGAGAATCCCAAACAGATTCCCTATTATGCATAGAGCCCAACATGGAGCTCGATCCCAGGGTCCTGAGATCACAACCTGAACTGAAATCAAGAGTCCAGACACTTGACTGAGCCACCCAGATGCCTGCCCTTTGAATGCCATTCTAAGGAATTTGGAGTTTATGCTATAGACCTGTAAACAGGGATAGGGTAGGCAGAATGGCATGAGCCCAAAGGAGTTTAAAGGAAGATGGGGGCAGGGCAGGGGAACACTAAGTAAGAATCCAGCAAAGGAAGAATGGTTTGAGCAGGAGCAGGTGGTGAAATGCCAGAGGTGAAGGAGGGGGACTGGGGGCAGGCTCCTGCACTGGGGGATGAGGACAGTCTGCTTCTGTTGATGGAGAAAAGGACTGAAGGTCAAGGAAGGAAGGCGGCACCGTGAAGCTCACACAGCTAGTAAGTGAGCGAGCTCGCGGTATGTCAAAAACAAACACAGAGTCATCGGTCAGCCTCTTTGCCTTTTTGCATTTGGGAAAATTTATAAAGGCCGTGTGTTTGCTTTAACTCCACACTCTCCAACCAAAATAACCTGCCCGGGGCTCAGATCCACAAGAAAATATATCTCTTGCTGTTTGTATGAGATATTTGAAAAATATTGGAAATCATAATATTAGTCTGAAAGCAACAACTCTGTCTGCACTCCAGGTCACCGTGAGAAGTGAAGGAAACTCAACCAAGAAGGCTTTTGTGTTTTTCCAGACCCTAAGCTCTCCTCCTCCAGTTGCAAGCTACTCTTTACACTTCCAGATCCAAAGCACAAATTCTTCTAACGATGAGACTCTGGCCCAGTGCTCTTCAGTTGTTTGTTCGCGAAGGAGCAAGAGAAAGAATCCTTTACCTAAAAATGCCTCCAAAAACGGGATCGATCTGGTCATAGATGGGCTGAGTGATGGCTTCATTCAGATCTATTCTTGCGAGGGTCCTGGAGGCATAGACGCCATTTTTCAGGCAAACAGCTTTCAGAGTCTGGTGAAAGCCCTGGTTTCCTCTACTCCTCTAGGTAATTAAACAATAAGTTAGTTGAGTTAGTACAGGTTCATTAGAATGCCATGGGATCAGAATCAGACTGCCTTTGGCCAAAGCCTATGACCAAGAATCACAGGGAAGAGTAGGACAACATGATCTTTTAACATAGGCTTAAGCTAGGCAGAGAGCACAGCGGTCATGCCTTGAGTTCCAGAGCGCCCTATGCTTCTTTGATCCCGACCTCCTCATACAGTTTATAATTGTCTGTTTACTCGTCGGGCTTCACTGCCCAAACACCAGCTTGTTGGGAATAGGCACGGCGTCTTATCCAGCCTGATGTACTCACCATCTGGCCGCAGTGTAAGTAGTACTTGAAGAACAGTTGTTAAAGGAGAAATTTTTAAATGAAAATGTGCTATGACTCTACCAGGGATATAGGTTTCACATTTTCCAAGCGTAGCCCAGGTTTTTTTTTTTTTTAGTACTCTTTGTTAAATGTCTAATGAAATGTAATTTGATTTCTGCATCTTTATATTTTTTCCCAGAGAAATAAATTCACAAATCAGAGGCAAAAAAAATACGATGAAGTGAGAGCCACAAGAGATATTGATAAACCTTACCAGATGGTGATCCCTAGTAAAAAGAATAAAAATACATTTGCACAGACCAAAATTTCAGTAGAGGTTCTTGTGATCAATGATATATGCTTTAAGGAACTCTGTTTCAAGTGCAAGGATATGTCACATGCTATGACTAGCATCATACCGTATGTATGTTTTAATATTCTGTCCTTTTCACTTAATATTATAGTAAGGACATTTCCTGAATTCATTGCAAATATTTTCAAAAATTACTTCAATATCCACAAAATATAATATCATATAGCTATAACCTAATTCATTTTACCACTCTCTTATTATTACACATTTTAGGTTATTTTTCTATATTATATAGCAATATGATGTCAGCATATAAATGTTTGCCCAAATTTCTGACCATAAAGGAAAGTGGCCTATCAAAGACACCTCAGACATGTTTGGAGTCACCAAGAAAAATGCCTCTACAGAACTGATGAGACAAGACAGTTCATGGGACGACATCCTTGTGAAGGTCTGGGGACAGCTGAACCGCTCCTTTCTTTCAGGAGACGAAAGGAATGGTCTCCACTTTGTGTCTTCACCTTCTCAGAACGCTTTTACTCACTTTTGGTGATCTGGGATCTTTCAGCATCATACAGAAGCCATTCTCCCCCAGAGTGACTTACTTATCTATTGCTATGAAACAAGTTACCCCAAACCTAATGGCTTAAAACAATGAAAAACATCTATTGAGTATCGCTCACTAGTTTTGTAGGTCAGGAATTCAGATATGGTTTGGCTCTTTCACGGTTCATGAGATAGCCAAGCTGTGAAGCTAACGTCAAAAGGCGGATAAAGGCCACCTAGAGAAGAGACGACGGCATGATTCAAGGTCACGGAGAACAGACATTCTGTACACTAGGCTCAAGTGGTACAGTGTTTACTGACAGCAAGAGGAGAAATGTGTGCACACGATCCAGCCTTTTGCAATGCATGGGTCCCTTTTGGCCAGCAGACCCATGCCATAGCCACTGTGGGTGACAGTCCTGCATACATCCCACATTGTGTGCAGTACCAAGACCCAAGCTTTCCCCCACAGAATCTGAGATACAGACAACTGGGAGCTTGCCTAAGGGCCTTGGACGCCTATACTAAGCAGAACAAAGAAGTATTCACTGAGCATAAAGCAGAGAACAATATTCCCAAGCAAGATGATAAGCCCAGTACAGGCTAAAGGCTCTTTTATCTCTCCATAAGGAAGTGTTCCAGGCCCAAAGCCCATTCTTATGTGGCCAAGTTGAGGGAGGGAGGGGTGGAAAGTCTGCATGTCCAGGCTGACTCTACCCCCAGCTGGCCAGTGCCGGCTCAGGGCTCCTCTGTGAGGCTCCATCCGGCATTGGCTGGGGGTATAGTCACCTGAATGGGGCTGGAGGATTTGCTCCCAGAGTGGCCTGCTACAGAGCTAGCCAGGTGTCACTGGCTATCTGTGGATCAAACTTCGTACTTTTATGGGGACTGACACATTTGAAACGACGTAACTGGTCAGCCATTACAAGTAGCTGCAACAGTTTGCCGAACACATTTAGGGGGTGCAACAGGCATGTGTGGGGGTTGGGCATCTGGGCTCTGAAGACAGATGGGCCTGTGGTAGATGTGGATGCCATATGAGGCCCCAGAGAGTTGTTCAGCCTCTGTAAGTCTGTAAAATTAAACAATAATAAGAGTGTTTAGCATCCAGAATTGCTGTGAGGATGGAATCAAGTAATGTACCATATCTGGCACCAGAGTAAGCATTTCATCCACGTTTGCTGGATGCATGAGGGAGTGCGTGTGCACATACTATATTCATGGACACTCAGCCCCCAGCCAGCCATAAGGAAGGCGCTCTTGTCTCTCATTCTCCTGTGTCAAAATTCTAACAGTCCTCTCCAGGGATCCCACGATCATTCCCACTGCTTTATTCCTTCAGCCCACGGAAATGTAGAGCTCCATTACACACCACCTTCTCACTGCCAACGTTCTAACTCTCTAATTCATATCACAACAATGGCAACAACATACAATCTATGCACTACTCCCAGGTCTAGAGACTTCTGTTCTGTACTTGTCCCATGAGCAGTGTTGTTAATCACTCCTTACTCTTAACTGGTGTCATGGAGTGACCTGTATTCCTCTGACTTGATCTGTTGAAGCTCTGAGCCCAGATGTGACTATGTTTGAAGACAGGGCCTTTAGGGCGGTCTAAGTGAGGGCACAAGTGTAGGTCCTAAGCCTACTGGACTGGTATCCTTATAAGAGAGGGAGAGACTCCAGGGATGCACACACAGAGAAAAGACCATGGGAGGGCACAGCGAGAAGATGGCCATGTTCAAGCCAAAAAGAGAAGCCCCAGGAGAAACCAACGTTATACTGCCTTGATCTTGGGCTTCTAACCTTCACAACTGTGAGAAGAAATGTCTGCCCTTTAAACCACCCAGTCAATGGTATTTTATGTTATAGCAGCCCTAGCAAACTGATATGAGAAGCCTCTTTTTTCAACAGTTAGCCTTAAATAAATACAACCTGGCACTTACATCTTTATCCTTCAGAAGCCATGGAATAGTGCAAAAAGAGCTTGGAGATAAGGTGGATGTCATTGAATAACACAGGTCCTCCCTGGAGAGGCTCACTCACCACCAGACATGCCCCAAGGATCCGTCGGTAGGAAGTCCTGGCATTTTGGACTCCTTCTTGCAGAGGCTGCTCTATGTGGGCAAAGCACTGGTCAATGGCCTTCTCCAGCAGCTGTATCTTTTCTTCCACAAATCTCCGCAGGCCACTCATGTGCAAGTATTCATTCTAGGGACAAGGGCCATAAGAATCATGAGGCCATCCCCTCCCTAAGGGCACTTTCTCTTCAAACTTTGCTTCCTTTATGCTTGCCCACCAACACAAGATTTAGTTTGAGCTAACCATCCTCAGTTGACTTCTTTCCCCCCAATAAAGCATCCCTCAATGGAGAGACATCCTTAAGCTTTGTGAGTTGGAGGACATATATATATATATATATATATATATATATATATATATATATGTATATACATATATATGTATATATATTCCTCCTGCAACTTAATTTAGGTATCTAATCCATGAGGCTATTTGAGGGAGTAACTAGTTAAATAAAATCCAGTTGCTGTTAAAACATACTTTTTCAATGACATCTGATTCTACAAACCTTTAGCAGCCTTTGTGTACAAAACAGTTTTTGAGGATCATGTTTCTCAAACTTTAACATGTGTACAAATCACTGGCAGAATTTGTTCAAATCCAAGGACCCGAGATTCTGTAACTCTAGCAAGCTCGCAAGTGATGCTAGTCTTCTGGGCCCTGGACCACACTTTGAAGAACAAAACTACAGGACACAATAATAAAGACATTATCCTTTCTTCAAAGGAGAATACAGTCTAGTCGAGGAGGAAAAGATCTACTCAATTAATACAAGGGAGAGAGAGCCTTGACCTCTTGATTTCAAACTGGGAACTCTGTAGTGCTGTTCTCTGTGTGAGAACCTTGGGGACCCCACAATGCCTATAGCAGATGGAAGCCACACTACTTAGTCCAGCATTTAAGGGCCTCTCACAGCCAGGACTCAGCCAACTTCTCCAGCACCCCCAGCTCTTTGCCCAAAACGTCATCCCATCCCAGGGTAGCTGCTCCTGAACTTGCTACCATTTTCCAAATGTGTCTTCCATTTTGTACCCATACCTTTGCACATGCCTTTCCCATCCTTCCAGACAAAACTCAAAACCCACTCCCTGTGCGATGCTTCCCCTGACTCCACCGAGTGAAACTGAGGCTCTCTTTCCGGTGCTGTCACTGAATCTTGTACACCCCTGCGTTACAGCCCTCCTCTTGCTCTGCTATGTCTGTCTCATTCCATAGCTCCTTCCTTGGACTAGGAACTTGTGGACTGAGTTATTCGTGTTTGTTTATTCCGAGTTATGGCACAGAGTGCACAGTGGGTAAACATTTTGGAGAGAATGAAGACCAGAGAGAAACTGATAGATAATGTGAGCTTTTAAATTCTATTCTAAATCTGATGACAGAAATCGCTCTAAATTGATGTGTGACCTTATATAAATGACAGCTTTTCTAGATCTTGACTGCATTGGAGTGAATGAGGCTGAATGTTCTTGAAAACACCCTTAAACTCCTATACTCCTCAAGACTTAGAGTACATGAATTTTAGAGTTTATGGAGACTATTTCACAGATTCTCATAGTTTTTCCACTAGTAAGAATTCTATAAGCCATACTTTTCTTTCAGAGTGCCCTCTGGATTCTTCTGAGTTTGTGATTTCACTGGTGGTCAAAAGAAAATAAGAAAGATGTCATCAACAGAAACTTTATGGGCAGGGTACCTGGGTGGCTCAGTGGGTTAAGCCTCTGCCTTCAGCTCAGGTCATGATCTCGGGGTCCTGGGAACCGCATCGGGCTCTCTGCTCAGCAGGGAGCCTCCTTCCCCCGCCCCTGCCTGCCTCTCTGCCTACTTGCGATTGCTCGCTCTATCAAATAAATAAATAAAATCTTTAAAAAGAGAAAAAGAAACTCTACAGGAAAGATTCTCACAATGTTTCATACTCAACAGATCATTGTTAAATAAACAAAAGAATGATAAGAAGGAGCAAGTCTGGGAATAAAAGAACAGTAAGAAAGGGAAAAGCTTACATCTACTATGAATAAACACAGGGTTCATTTGACATTGAGATGTCATAATCAGCTTCCTACTGATTCATAAAAAGAATGACTAGATCCCTACTCATTTAGAATCACTAACTACCCAGACTCTTTTTTTATTTGTTTGAGTCATAATCTTAAAAAAATGACCAATCACTGCATTTTTTCAGAACGCAAAGGAACTGACAAAACTCTCGCCTTCCAACTTTCCATCAATGAACTAAGACTGAGACCAATATCTGAGGCCAAAGGATTTTGAGGAAAAATCCTGGCTGATGCTTATGTGAAGGGCTACCAAAGAAGTGCCAACCAGCCCCCTTCTCTGTGTTTTCTGCCACCTACAGCCTAGCCTCTAGGGAGGATGGCACGGAGTCCCTCCACAGGCTGCCCACCCTTCCCCCTTAGCAGAGAAGAGGACCAAGGCAGGCATTTCTCAGTTTGATTGCAAAATGCCTTGTCCTTGTGTTTATAAAACAAACCAACCACACACAGTACCACATCTGATTTGTTTTCCATCGGCACTTCCAAAAGCAATCTTTGGCTGGGCAGAGAGGCAATTTTCACCCTGAAGAACATTTTTGGGAAGTTAGAAGGTCAAATACTTCCCTGGTATTTCAGAGGACAAAGTTAAATTAGAAATTCAACTTGTTGCTCTTATTTTGTTTTTCTTTTTCCCTCACAGAACTAGGCCAAAATGAGGCATAAGAAATATGGTGAAAAAGACAGGGAACCTTGTTCTGTATGTCATTTTTATATAGAACTTTTTTAAATGCAGACATTTGACCAAAACTGTGACGACGATCTCCAGCTGGCATGTCTTACTTTTCACATTGAAGTCAGGTCTCCATTATCTGCCCCCCATGGCCACGCCATAGGGCCAGCCAAGGTATACTTTCCCACATTCTCAGGACCAGCCCCTTGAACTCTCAGAGAGCCCTACTGGTCCACTTTCTTTGCTCCCTCCTTGTCCAGCATAACAAAACGTTGGACAATTTGGTTGAACAAATCTGATGGTTGATAACAAGTGTGGAAATAAACACCAACCAAATGAGAACATGTGAAGCTACTGATTCCGAGCTTGCTAGAGCAAGAGAGTCAGCTCAGCCGTCAACACTTGTGCTGGCAGAGATTCAAAGACAGGCGGAGGAGTGGGAAGGCGTCAGATGCCCTCATCAGAGGCCACTGGCACAGGGGAGCTGTGGGCGAACAAACTAGAAGTGAAGATCCTATGTGATTCATCAGGGTGCATGTTTGACTTCTCTGATTGGAAGCAGGGATAAAGATGAGGGAAACTGTCAGTTAGTAACCAATCAGCCCATTTGGGTCTGATTATTACAAACGTTATTGCTTAGGTTCTTGGATTGTTACTAGAGATAGCAGTTGGATTCCCTATGAATCTACCTTACAGCAGGCCGCCCTCCTGAGCGGTTTATTGCAGATATGGAGTTGGTTTCCCAGGCAGGTTACTACAGGCTGTGGGTCAGAGTTCTGTTTTACAATAGGACTGCCCGTTTATATATTCAAATGCAATTCAAATGCATTCAAATGCCTCACAAAGAAGCAGTATAGTTGGTGATGGATTGGAATGACAGATTTTTCTCCAAAACTCTCCCTTGTCTCTAACTTAGCAGCCAATCCATCTTATTTTAGGGTTAATCATCAGGGCGGCTGGGTGGCTCAGTGGGTTGGGGCCTCTGCCTTCAGCTCAGGTCGTGGTCTCGGGGTCCTGAGTTTGAGCCCCTCACTGGGCTCTCTGCTCAGCAGAGAGCCTGCTTCCTCCTTTCTCCCTCTCTGCCTGCCTCTCTGCCTGCTTGTGATCTCTGTCAAATAAATAAATAAAATCTTTTTTTAAAAAATCATCTATCAAAGAGATAAATTTGCCTATTCCCATGAGAAGAGTGATTTGGAACTGGTCATTCAGAAGCCCACCATTCCAGACTGTGAAAATATATATCTAAACTCTGCTGAATGTCCCTGCTAGCTCCCTTCCTCTCACATTATTGTACGAGGCTGCTCTGAGTTTGAGATTCTGATAGCACTTAAGTATAAACGAAATCCATAGAAAGATGAAAAAATTTTTGGACATATGCATAACCATGTTTCTGTAGGATAACCAAGAATTGTAAGTATTCTACGAGGGTGAAACAAATCACTTCTGTTATCACTTAAACACATTCCATCTTATTCAAGTTCCCAGGAGAGGTAAAAGTAGCTGCTGATCATTTCTACATTTTCCTCTCTCAACCCATCTATCTCAGGCAAAATATCATTCCTTCGTTTTTTACTCAAATGTCACCATTGTAACCCTCGAATTATCTTTTTGTTCTCTTTAGATTTTCTGAGCTTAGTATCTTCCTTTGATATGAAAAGAAAAAAAATATCATAAGTTATTTTCCTAACTCAGTAAAAGGGAATGTTTTGCCCAGGCTGAGAGGCAGAGAATAAGTTTCTTCCATACCGGCGGGTTTTCCGTGCAGTTGAAACTGTCTGTGAGGAGCAATAAACCAAAGGCTTCAGTCACATACTTGGTCACCATCCTCCTCTTCTTGTCCAGGAGCCTTTTCCTGATATAGCCTCTTAACCTGGGGATTTCTGGAATTCACAAGCAGCACAAACAATTTTGAAAAGGCCGGAGTTCACAGCAAAGAGAATTCACAAAAATGAACAGATCAGAATGGGCAGTCAGCCTTAACTAAGGTCCTACGTGGGATGACTGCCCACTCCACCAACTTTTCTGGGGATGTTTTTTCTATGTCTAGGATCAACAATAATGAATGGTAGATCAGCAATGATGAATACTAACTTTTATTTAGTGGTACAAGCCCAACTAAGTAGAAAAGTGCAGGCTGGTTAGAAACATTGGCACTTCCCTCTGGAATGCTACTTACAAAGAATTGAACCAAAGGTGCTCACAGTCCCAGAGTCTCAGCTCTTCCCTCCCCCAGACTTTTCCATCTATATCAAAAAACCCATAATACAAAAATCACTCATGCTTGCTGTAGGAAGGATGAGAATCTCTGCTGAATGGGATTTCTGGATTAGAAATTCATCTCAGTCCTAACCTTTTGTTAGTCAGAAGATAAGAGGCGTCATCCGACTTTTCTTCCCATTATTCCCATAAGTGGAAATTCTTCTGTAACATTTCTTGCATATGCCACGCTGATTATTTCTTTTATATCCTTGTTCAAGAAGTTCCCCCATTTCTAGCAACATTTTATACTTTCTGCCCCTTTGCCTCCTCTCCCACACAGACGTGTATGGTAAAATGCCTGCACATCTTAAGCCATTTTAAGCTCAGATCAATGTCAAGTTCAGAGCCTGCCTGCTTGCCTACTTCCCACTGAATGCTCCAGTCACACAGACCTCTAGGTGTTCTAGGCTTCCATCATATTCACGGCACCATTTAACTAAGCCTTATTTGTACCTTGATTTTTACACATGGCTTAGTACAAGCTCCTCATTTAGGTTTTAAGTTCTGGGAAGAAAGGGGTCATGTCTTCTGCTTTTTCTTCCTTAGGGACAAAGCATACACCAGATGCTGGGTAAATACATCTAATACTTGCAGCTAGGTGAGTGCAGAATTGCAAACCAAATACTTAGGAAATAACAACCCAATCTCTGACCTCCACCAACTCTTGGTAAAAATTGGATAAAAGAGGAACTGTGGTCTCAGGCACCACAGCAATGCAGAGAGAAAAACGGATACATCTGCTAATATGTACAGAAACTGTGACAAGCTGGAAATGTCACACAGAAAATTCTAGAGAGGGAAATTCAGCATGCCAAGCTTCATCTTGAGAATTCCAGTAATTGAGATTAAAAATATATATATATAAATTACCAGTTTCCTCCTCAGTGAGGAGAGCCTGCTGCCAGTATTCCTGGGCGCTGACTGTATACACCAGATCAGAAGCCTCCAGAACCTTGGAGTCAGCGGGCAGTTTTCTCTGAAGTGAGAGAGACACAGGGAACAGAATAATTCAAACATGGTGAAGGAAACAACACACAGGCCTTATAAGAACTGTCAGCAAGCTTCAGCTCACTCACTTTCAACCCTGCGAGAGCCCCATAAGGAACACAGCACACCCGTACATCAGGTGTTCCCATCTGTCCACACCCCACAAGTTTGGACATTGTAAGAAAACCGCTGCAGAGAAACTATTCTCTTGGGAGTTAAGAATAACAATTCTAGGGGCGCCTGGGTGGCTCAGTGGGTTAAAGCCTCTGCCTTCAACTCTGGTCATGATCCCAGGGTTGTGGGATCGAGCCCCACATAGGGCTCTCTGCTCAGCAGGGAACCTGCTTCCTCCTCTCTCTGCCTGCTTGTCTGCCTACTTGTGATCTCTGTCTGTCAAATAAATAAATAATTTTTAAAAATTAAAAAAAAATAACAATTCTAGAAGGAAATATATAGAGAAAATAGTTCAAGATGTACTGAAATGTTCAGAGAAGGAGAAAGTACCGGGAAGCTTTACGGGAAAAACAAAAAGAGCTAGAGCCGGCTGTAACCAATTCTGCCTTTAGTGACATCACCCTGGTACCTTGAACTTGGTAACGGTGGGAGTATTACACCTTGGGAACCAACAAATGCTAGAAATCAGGGCTTTTTTGCTTTGTTTCTTTTCTTTTTAAACAGAGATCTGGTTGTTAAATATTTATCTACACCATACAACACGGGACAAAGGTGTTGTGAAAATGCAAGTTTCTTAGCTGGGTACTTAGTGAGTAATCAGATGCATTTAAAAGCAGAGCAATGTTTAAGTAAAGCATGGTCTTAAATGTCAAGGAATTATGAATGTGAGAAAATCTCTTTTATGGTTAGAAAAATCATCATCACAGAGAAGTCACACTGGGATTAGACACAAATATTGTTCCATAATCGCTCATTATTCTCACTTACGAGAAAAGAAGGGGCACCTGCGTGGCTCAGTTGGTTAAGCATCCGACTCTTGGTTTCGGCTCAGGTCATGGTCTCAGAGTCATGAGATTGAGCCCTGAGTCGGGCTCCATGCTGACCACAAAGTCTGCTAAAGTTTCTCTCTCCTTCTCCCTCTGCCTCTTCCCGCCTCACTCTCTCTCTCAAATAAATAAATAAATCTTTAAAAAAATGAAAGAAAGAAAGATAAGAGAAAAACCATAAAGGGTTGTGTGTGTGTGCATGGGTGTTTGGGATTGTTCATTAGAGAACCGTGGAGAATCGTCCATCTCTTTCTGATGCAAAGACCCAACAGAGCCGAGTGAGTAGTCCACCAGGAGAAGCGAGAGACCACATGTCTGGCAATCTGTGAGCCCGTCAGTCAAGGCTGGGATAGAGATGCCTGGGTAGGCTTCCAGAAGCCCCACACACAACAGTCAGGGCTGAAATTATACAAAAGATCTGCCAAGATTAACTTTTTCCCCCTTCTGATAGAGTTTTGACTCTAGCAAAAAAGTTTAGGGAAAGCTGAAACTATTTTCTACTAGGAGATGAAACGGATGTGGAATTAAATCTGAGTAGGGTTTTAGAACAATTGAAAGAAAGGAGTATGCCTCACTTTGCCTAGGTGTTTACATTATTTAAAATCTTGCTCTAAATTCTGTGTACCTCTTCTAAAAATTACTGACGATTAGTTAACACTTATGCTTGCATTATAGTACAGAGAAATATTTTTATAGTGCCAATGAAGTGACTATAGTATGCAGGTTCTGTGTCATTATAAAAGAGATATAGAAACAGTTACAACTGGAAAGTAGGATCCAAGAGGTGAGTGGATACTCATCAGATTATCGCATGGAAAGATGAGTCACTGTTATAATTTACACACAGTGTTTGTTAGAACAGTGTATAGCACCATAGATATTAAAGTTTGTAAGAAGATATGATATATGAGAGAGAAGAAAGCTTGTAGCCCAAAACAGGAGGGATATTAGATGAAAGCAGAATCAAAAGAGGGATAGTAAAGCTGGAGGTATCTTGAGATCAGTAATATAAATCATGACCCCATTTCAAAAAAAAAAAAAACTCTTTTATAGCTTTGCCATTAAAATAATTTTGCAGTGATATCACCCTGCCTACTGCTTTTGCTTTCATTTGATATGGACCCCTAGCACCACAACTTTTATTTTTAGCATGGTTCTTTACTAAAAGAAACCCAGGTTTATTTGAGAGTAGGAGGTCCCTATCTTGGGGCAGGGAAAAATAAAAGGAGCCTGAGTATCTTGTTGTTGCCGAAGAATAAAAATATTTTAAAAAAATGTCTGGGTAAGGCTAAAAGGAACCAGCTTAAATTACAGACTCCAATTGGCCAAGAGGTGAACTGGAACAATAAAAAGAACACAGTAATTCTGTGAAAAGCCATGAATCCTCAAACCAAGTAAAATAATAATAATAAGAAAAAATATATATGTATTGGTCTCTGCCCCCAGATCCTGACACAGGAATTCCTTATAAATTGGGGTGCTAGGACAATCTTTGGTTCTAACATTAATCCTGGACCCCAGTTCTCAGCACAGAGCTCCTAAAACCATTGTTATTTCCTAAGTGGTAAGAGCACTAGAACTATCTCTTGTTCTAATATTTGGTCTTTGACTCTAGTACCTGACGCAGATCCTAAATCCCTTAGAATTAGTCCTAAGTTATAGGAGTTTCTTCTTTTTCTAATGAGGCAACTCTGGGTGAGCTCCTAAATAGGGGCTGGTTACAGAAAGGTCAGGTCATTAGAAGTTTGGAATTTTTAGCCCTACTCCACCCACACCCCATTCTCCAGAGAGGGTAGAGGGGCTAGAAATAGAGTAATTGGCAATGCCTCTGTGAGGAAGCCTCCATAAAATCCCAACAGGATGGGGTTCAAAGAGCTTCCAAGTGGGCAAACACATCCCCATAACGAGAGGGTGATGTAGCCCAACACCGTGAGGACAGAAGTTCTTGCATTTGGACCCCTCCCAGACCTTTCCCTATATATCTCTTCATCTTGCTGTTCATCTGTATCTTTTATTCTTTTTGTATAAAAAAAAACTGGTAAGGGGCGCCTGGGTGGCTCAGTGGGTTAAAGCCTCTGCCTTCAGCCCAGGTCATGGTCTCAGGGTCCTGGGATCGAGCCCCACATTGGGCTCCCTGCTCAGCAGGGAGCCTGCTTCCCCCTCTCTCTCTGCCTGCCTCTCTGCCGACTTGTGATCTCTGTCTGTCAAATAAATAAATAAAATCTTTAAAAAAACCTGGTAAATGTAAGTAATTATTTCCCTGCATTCTGTGAGCTGTTCTAGTTAATAATCGAATCCAAGGAGAAAGAGATCATGGGGACCTTCAATTTGTAGCCAAGTCAGATGGAAGTTGTGGGTAAACTAGGGACTTACTATTTGCAGTTGGCATCTGAAGTAGGGGGAAGTATTGTGGGACTGAGCCCTTCACCTGTGAGATCTGATGCTATGTCCAGGAAAATATTTTCAACTAAATTTCAGTTAAATTGTAGGATGCCCTACCCCATGACCCAGTAATTGCACTACTAGGTATTTATCCAAAGGATACAAAAATAGTGATTCAAAGGGGGTACGTGCACCCTAATATTTATAGCAGCACTGTCCACAATAGCCAAAATATGGAAAGACCCCAGTTGTCCATCAACAGATGAATAGATAAAGAAGATGTGGCATATATATATATATATATATATATATATATATATATTACACAGCCATCAAAAAGGATGAAGTCTTGCCATTTGCAACAACGTAGATAGAACTAGAGGCTATTATGCTAAGTGAAATAAGCCAGTCAGAGAAAGACAAATACTATGTGATTTCACTAATATGTGGAATTTAAGAAACAAAACAGATGAACATAGGGGAAGGGAAGGAAAGGAAAAATAAAATAAGATAAAAACAGAGAAGGAGGCAAACCATAAGAGACTCTTAACTCTAGGAAATAAACTGAGAGTTGCTTAGGGGAGGTGGGGGGGATGGTGTAACTGGGTGATGGGCAATAAGGAGGGCATGGGATGTAATGAGTAATGAGCACTGGGTGTTATGTGCAACTGATGGATCATTAAATTCTACCCCTGAAACTAACATTACACTACATGTTAACCTAAAAAAAAAGAAAAAAAAATGTAGTGTCACAGAGAACTGCTCAGTGTGGGAAAAAAATCCCAACATCGATGTCAGAAGTGTTGTTAACTGTGTTAGTATGGACTGGAAGAATTAATATCATTAAAATGTGCATCCTGCCCAAAGCAATCTACAAATTCAAGGCAATCCCTATCAAAATACCAAAAGCATTTTTCATAGAACTAAAACCAATAATACTAAAATTTGTATGAAACCACAGAAGAGCCCAAATAGCCAAAGCAATGTTGAGAAAGAAAAACAGCTAGATGTGTCACAAGTCCAGATTTCAAACCATACTACAAAACTATAGTCATCAAAACAGTATGATACTGGCACAAAAACCAATACATAGATAATGGAAGAGAAAAGACAGCCCAGAAATAAACCCATGCTTGTATGGTCAATTAAACCACCATAAAAGAGGCAAGAATATACAATGGGGAAAACACAGTCTCTTCAATAAATGGTGTTGAGAAAGCTGATCAGATACATGCAAAAGAATGAAACTTGACTACTTTCTTAAACCATATACAAAAATAAGCTCAAAATGGATTAAAGACCTAAATGTTTAAGGCCTGAAATCATAAAACTCCTAAAAGAACAGATAGGCAGTAAACATTTGGACATTGTATTTATTTGGATCTCTTTCCTCAGGCAAAGACAACAGAAGCAAAAATATACAATTGGGACTACATCAAACTAAAGAGCTTTTGGCCAGAGAAAGAAACAGTCAACCAAACAAAAAGGCAACCTACTGAATGGAAGAACATATTTGCAAATACTACATAGGATAAGAGGTTAATATTCAAAATATATAAAGAGTTCATGGGAGAATACACCAAAAAAACAAATAATCCAATTAAAAATGGGTAGAGGAAAACAAAAAGATGGGTAGGAGAACTGCACAGACATTTTTCCAAATGTCTTCCAAAGAAGACATATAGATGGTCAACGGACAAATGAGAAATGCTCAACATCACTAGTCACCATGAAAATGCTACTTACAACGGCAAGATATCATCTTACACCAGTCAGAGTGTCTAGTATCAAAAAGATAAGAAATAATAACTGTTAGTGAGTCTGTGGTGGAAAAGGAACCCTCATGCACTGTTGATGGGATTGTAAATAGGTGCAGTCACTGTGGAAATAAGCATGGAGTTTCCTGAAAAAAATTAAAAACAGAAATACCATATGATCCAGCAATTCCCCTTCTGGCTACTTATTTGAAGAAAATGAAAACACTGATCTGAAAAGATCTATGCAGGGACGCCTGGGTGGCTCAGCTGGTTAAGCAGCTGCCTTCGGCTCAGGTCATGATCCCAGCTTCCTGGGATCGAGTCCCGTATCGGGCTCCTTGCTCGGCAGGGAGCCTGCTTCTCCCTCTGCCTCTGCCTGCCATTCTGTCTGCCTGCGCTCGCTCTCTCTCCCTCTCTCTCTGACAAATAAAAAAAAATGGAGAAAAAAAAAAAAAGAAAGAAAAGATCTATGTACCCTCCTGCTCACTGCAACATTATTCGTAGTAGCCAAGATATGGAAGTGACCTAAGTGTCCATTGATGGTTGAATGGATAGGGAAGATATGTTATAGACACATACAGTGGCATACTACTCAGCTCTAAAAATGAATGGGATCTTGCCACTTGCAACAACACGGATGGACCTACAGGAAGTTACACTAAGAGAAACAAGTCAGATGGAGGAAGACAAATACCATATTATTTCACTTATAAAGAATATAAGAAACAAAACAAATGAACAAACAAAACACTATGGAAACAGATTCACAAATTTGGAGAACAGACATGTGGTTGTGGGAGGGGAGGGGGATGGATGGATGGGCAAAACAGGTGAAGGGAATTAAGAGGTACAAAATTCCAGCTACAAACTAAGTAAGTCATGGGGATGTGAAGTACGGCATAGGGACTAAAGCCACTAACACTGTAACAACATGGGGACAGATGGTAATTAGCCTTACTTGGTGGTGATGGTTTTGTGATGTATAGAACTGTCAAATCACTATGTTGTACCCCAGAAACTAATATAATATTGTGCGTCGACTGTACTTCAATTGAAAAAAAGAAGTGTCGTGAGTGTGTTAATAGCATGAGAGGAAAGGAGAGACACACAGGAGGAGTGGGATGATTTTCATTCCAGGTACCCTAAAGCTGTGTCATACCTAGCTCCAAGGACGCACCTGAGAATGGAAACACCCAGCTCTCTTTCACCGGCCACATAAAATTAGTCATCCGGACTTGGGAGTGTAAGTTCCCTAACATCTCTCGAAGGTCTCTCCTCTCCTCTAGTCCTGTAGTGACTGCCTTGTTCAAGCTCTTAGCTCTTCCAGTGGGATTACAGGAAAAGCCTCCCCAACAGGTCTCTCTTGGCATCTGGTCTTCACTTGCTCCTCCCCCCATCCATTCTCCTTAACGCTGAGAAAACGATTTTCCTAAAATACATAGTATTTCCAGACTACGCGCTACAAATGGAGCCTCAGGGGTCTGTCATTTTTCTTACAATATGTTTTCCTAATTTTTATTTTTATAATAAAAAATCAGCATAGACATCTATAGGAATTATTGCTTTATAATCAACTTCTGCCTCCTATTTTCTATGATTAAGATTCAATTTGCTCCAATGAAGGCATGAAGTACAAGGGAAGGGTTCACAATAATTCAGCTGAAGTCAAGTGGTCAGAGAATTAAGGTATCACCTGGCCCTCAGAGGTGTAGGTGTGCAGACCTCAAAAGGACTTGTATGATAGAACCCTAGTCACCCGGCAAGCTGACTCACTGTTGTCCAGACCCTATCTCATATGCACCAACGCACCACATTTATCAGCAATAAATGTAGTTGTGAATTGCTTATTGAAGTACTTTGTGTTTTTGTTTCCAGAAATAAAATGATGAGGTACTCGTTAAATGCATATTTCTTGAATGCCAGCAAGAAAGCTGAAGAGAATAGGAACAGCTTTGCTCACTTATTGCCTCATTAAAAGCAGCATTTAAGAATTGGTTGGTCAGGGGCGCCTGGGTGGCTCAGTGGGTTAAGCTGCTGTCTTCGGCTCAGGCCCTGATCTCAGGGTCCTGGGATCGAGCCCCGCATTGGGCTCTCTGCTCAGCAGGGAGCCTGCTTCTTCCTCTCTCTCTCTACCTGCCTCTCTGCCTGCTTATGATCTCTGTCAAATAAATAAATAAAATCTTTAAAAAAAAAAAAGAATTGGTTGGTCAAAGATTTTGGCTTAAGTACAAGGTCTGATTATTCTGAATTAGAGACAAAAGTTTTGAAAATTTCAATTCCACTTTGTACATCAGATGTTTTCTGCATCAATGTAATTGAATTCAAACTGCAGAATGCAATTAAATATAGAACTGGACATCGGGCCATGTGTTTTTACTATTACCCAGCGCCAAAGATTTAGTTTCAGCAAAACCAAAACATCTATCCCATTATGCTGACCCCAATATACCACTATGTTTTGTTTATAGTTTATCTTAAAATCGGTTTTAGTTTTATCATTGCATAAGACAATTATAGTAAGGAGATTTATGTCTGTAATTTATTTTAGTGACAGAATAACAAAAAATAATTTGAGAAAATACAGAGATTCCCACAGAACAATTTCTCAAGCTTAGGGGGGCATCTGGGGGGGCTCAGTCAGTCAAGCATCTGACTCTTGATTTCAGCTCAGGTCATGATCTCAGGGTCGTGAGATCGAGTCCCGTGTCGGGCTTTGCTCTGGGCGCAGAAACAGCTTAAGCTATTCTCTCTCTCTCCTTCTGCCCTTCCTGTCCTCCATCTGCTCAACCCCTTGCTCCAGCTCTCTCTCTCTCTAAAAAATAAAAAAAATAGCTCCAGCCTTATCTCCCAATGCTTCTACAGAAGGCCCTTTCTCCCACATCCTTACCTTACTAAAGACTACTGGTTCTTTATAATTCTGCCCAAGGGCATGAGGAGTTTTCCCTGCACCTCTCTGCAACACCGCTTCTCTGCCTGCTAGTGAAATCTGGAGAAGATCGTGTGTCCCCGCGGCACCCTATGCATTCCTCCCTCGAATCATCCTCAAACAGTGTGATGATCTCTGATATCACCTGTGGGTATCTCTCTCTCAGTGGACCGTATGCTCATCCCATCCTTCCAGCAACCACGGGAGGTAGATGCTATCATCTCCCCATTTTATAGATGAGAAAGTGGAGGCTCAGGGAGAAGTAATTTGCCAAAAGTCACAAAGTTATTAACCAGGAGGACTAAGTTGACTCCAAACTGTTTGTTCCAAAGCTTTTGATGTGGCAACTACGCAAGACCCAGTAGACATCTGTTTCTGAAAACAGATGAGTGGTTGAAAAGCCAAAAAACACATTTGGAAATCTGTTAACTCACCTTGAGCTTTTCCTTGAGAATTCTATTCCTTTGTAGTTTTATCATTTCATTTCTTTCTAAAACAGCCTCCCGCTGACTCAAAATAGCTCGCTAGTTTGGGAAAAGAAATGAAAGCATGACAAAGAGTCCAAGGTTATCGAGAGTGATACGGTGATAAGCTATACAGTTATTTCTGGCATAACTTCATTTGGCCCAGACAAATGTGTATGGCTTTGAATTTTATAGTATTAATCATGAAAAGTATTATTAAAAATAACGAGTTCTTGCATATGTCCAGACTAATTAAGTTGTTATATGAAATGCGTGCAATTATTTGTGTATCAATTGTATACCAATGGAGCTTAAAAAATAAAAATAACTAGTCCGTACTTACATTTCCCACTTTTCTTTCCCTGAAAGGAAAATTGTAACAATTACTTAACTCGTTTTGTGTGTCACAGCAGTCTTTCAACTTTCCCTGAAAGTAGTATATACAGTTGTGCCTTAATTCCTTCACATAAGCTTTCTTTGGTCCAAATGTCCTCTCTTCTGATCTACCTTCAGTGTCCACTTGAAACAAGTGTCTTTATTTCTCATTGTTTTGTTGGTGCTGGAATTTTCTGTGGCCCCATCCCCCTGCCCAATCAAAATGCAGGCCCCTCTCTCTGGGTCCCCATAACACTTTGCTTGTCCCTCTCTTATAACCTTTAACCTTCTTGTAAGACAGCGGACTTGGTGACTAGGTTCTGTGCCCTTCTGAATGTGCAGCCCCTACCACAGTGTTCAATAAGGGCTTCATAAATCTGATGGAATAATGTTCAGTTGCAGAGTTGGCACTGGAAGGGAGCACTGGAGATACTATTCTGGGGCAGGGGGCGGGGTGAAAGGAGCTTGCAGGCCAAAAAAAAAAAAAAAAAAAAAATTGAAGCTGAAGTTCCAACCTAACCCATGAAAGCAAGAAGCCGGGGAAACATCCTTAGCCTTTTTCTTTACCCGAGTCGGTGTCTCTGCTTCATGAATTCCTGGAGACACGGGTGCAAGTTTCAGTGGGTGTGGGGGAAGGGCAGAGATGACAGGTGACCGGTAAGGATGCTCTTATTAGAGCAAGGAAGCATTAACAACATTCTATCTGGTGACCACAGGCCGATGTACCCAGGACAGACAGGTTGATACTTGCTGTAAGGGTTAAGAACACCCCCTTTCCACTTTCAAAGCATGCCAGTTGAGAAGGTAAGTTATGGCTCTCTTGGTTACAGAGGTACAGAGATCCACGTGGAAATGGGCACTCTTTAACATCTATTAAACTCTAAAATGCTTACCTTCCACTAAAATTTAGTCAGAATGTTGTTACTTTTGGCCAAAGCTCTGAAACATTGAGAACCTTGTTCCACAGGGGTTTAAAGCCTGAAACAGAATCTGACACTTTAAGGTTGTGCAATGTCAGATAGCACTCTAGACACTGCCTACCAGCTGTGGGGGCGTCTCCATGTCCCATATCTGTGGGGGACCAGCACAAGTCTGAGAGGTGTTCTTTGCACCTCCTACACACGAGTGGCACCCTGTATGGGGACAGCCAACTGGGTATTGAGCAGCTACTCTGTTAGAGGGCCCACAGTGTTCAGATTCCCAAGGCAATCTACCTAAGGCCCCAAGGGTCCTAATGTCCTCGGAGGTTCCCCAGACTTCTGTTTCATCCCCAGCAGTTGCTTCCGTGGGTCTGAAATGCCCAGGGGTCAAAGCTCTGTCATTGGGGCAGTTGGGACCCATAGAGGAAAGCCCACAGGCCCTCGAGCCCAGCCCTGTACCTCAGATATTCCGGCAGGTGGAGTTTGTCGGTCTTGGTGACCACCAGTGCCACGTCCCTGCAGAAGCCCCTTTGGCAGGCTTTGATGCTCTCGTTCAGCAGGTCTTCATGGGCTCTCCCTCCAGAAACTCTTTCGATGTCACTGATCACCCAGATCACTGAGCATTTATCAATGGTCTGTGAAACAAAACCACCATAGTTTTAAGAACGTAAGTGGCATCTCAGTTGTAGAGGACATGAGCCCTTAATGTATCATTTATGTCCTCCGCCCATTTATGTCACTCTGTCCCATCTCTCTTCCAGTCCCGCCTCTCAGCTCTCCCCACCACATTCTCCATGTACCAGCCAGGCTGAGCTTCTTGAATTTTCTCAGATGTAACTTGGTCTTTCATCCCTCAGGACCTTTACACTTGCCATGACCTCTGCTTGACCCCCATTCGCCCTTTGGATTGACCACCCCTCCTCTGCACCCTCCAGCACCTGGACTTACCTGTTATGGTATCTCTCAGACTTAGTGCATAGGCTGGGCTGTCTGTACCGCTTCACCCCGCCTGACCCTACACCACCCCTAGACTGTGAGGTACTTGAAGGGAAGAGGTAGCACTTTGCAGCTTGGAATTCACATCACCCTTTGGCACAGCGATTGACCCCTCCTGGAGGCTTCATAGCTATTTGTAGCATTACTGAATGATAGAATTCAAGAAATCAGACCTCCAGCCCCAGATCCATCACTGGCTTGCTTTACCTCAGTTGTCTCCTAGGGAAAATTATTGTTTTCCCAGAACTAGTTACTGGTCATGCATCGACCTCAAAATTACCAGCACAGGGCATCAGTTCCATGTTTGACTGCCCCTGTGTATGCAGCACACTGCCACTATGTGGGGGCAAGGAGCCCCTGGAGACATTTTTAATTGTTATGACTTGGGGTACGCTAGTGGGGGGGGGGTGGAGGACAGGAATGCTGTTAAAACATTCGCCAGTGCCCAGGTGAGCAGCCCCCCAAAATGTCAACAGTGCTGAGGCTGAGAAATCTTGGGTTTTGAGTTTGTTTTTACCAGTGGAACCTTTTTCAATTGAAATCTTAGGACAATTTCCAAAAGATTTTTTAAAATTGAACTGCTTTAATTGAATTGGAGATGGAGGGTTTGGAGCCCCCCACCTCCTCAGCATCCTCAACCCTCTGTCCATGCACCTCTTGGCTTTGTGGATCATTATTTTTAAACTGTCTATCTCCAGAGTTAGACAAACTTCACCGTTTTACAGAGGTAAAAGATCAGGAGGCTAAAGATCAGTTTGAAGGCCATACAACTATGGGCCCTGAGCCTCCTCCTTATGGATGGACTCCTGTTGAGGCAGGAAAATAAAAACAACTGGCTCCCTCCATTTCCGAAACTGTAATCTATCTAGGGAAGCTTCTAGATCTTCAGTCAGGTTGTGGAAGATCGCAGGATAGCAGGCTACCAGCTCCCCCAGGGCAAGGCCTCTTTCACCTTTGTATTCCCATGGTCCTGGGAAACTACAGATGCTTCCTAAATGTTTATTAACATAAAAGGACTGCAAATTTCTGGCCCTACACAAGGCTCTGACTGCCAGGACTTGGTCAAGTTATAGGCTCAGAAGAACGAAAAAGACTACCTAGAGCAACTAAATTTAGGAATCAGTAGGGTGATATCCGAGCCAGCCCAATCCTCCCTCCCATGAGGAGAACGGGGCCTCAGAGAGCTCAGGTGACAGGCTGAAGGTATCATGACTTCAAGGCGGCAGAGACACATGAACTCATAATAGTCTTAGCTTAGGGACAGCAAGGCGGGAAGCTAGAGGGAAGAGGGAAGGGGCATTGTGCTCTGTTCTCCCTAAAAAGTGGGAAGTCTTCAGTCACTCCACGTGAGAGAGTCTCACAAAACCACAGGCATGCAGGGGAGCTGAGGCCAAGCAGAATAGGCCTGGAACCATCCCTTCACTGTAGCCCGACCTCCTCAGAGAGGCTGATCTGGGCCAGATCTGCCGGCTCCTTTGTTTTGAGCGGCCTTTGATAGGCTGCCCAGCATATCGCAACTGGCAGCAGCCATGGCTCCCTCCAGGGAGAGAGGCTGGCTGCCTCCCTATGCTGCTCCTCCCAGGCCTAGCCTGCAACTAGCCAAGGCTGGCTATTTCACCCCAAGAGTGAGAAGAACCTCAAGAAACAAAGTCCCTCATGTCAGGACCTGAGCAGACTACCAAGGAGAAGGACGTTCAGACCGCCTGTATCTTAAAGAACTGTTGCGGGAGGTCCTGTGGTAGAGAGAGAGAGCCTCAGCTGGGAAGGTGGGGACCTGCTCTCGGGTTCAAATTCTGCCATTCAATAGCTGTGTGGTCTTGGGAAAATTACTTCCCCTCTCTGAGCCTTCATTTCCTCATCCATAAAATCAGGCTGATTATCTGTCAGCTGTCTTCCTGTCATCCCGATCTTGACTGCAAACTAGGCTCAAAGCTCCCCTGAGCCACAGTCATGCATTTAGCACAAATCCACAGAATTTAAAGTTTGCATATAGCAGAGAATTGATGGTTCTTTATGGATCCTTCTACAGTGCAGGACTGATCATGACTCACTGATCCCAGCCCTCATGCCCAGTCCCCTTCCAGCTCCAGTCCTATGCCTCATCTCCATGTTCCCACCCCATGCTTCTGAGCTCCTCGCCTGAAGACATCCCTTCTCTCTCTATCACATACCCCAGTACCTCTCGTCCTTCGAGCTTCCCCAGGAAGGGTAGTGTTTAAGCCCAACTCCCAAGTTTTCTGGGCTTGCCTTCTGTAACCCTCTCCTCTACACCCCACAATCCTTTCCTCCAGCCACCCCAAAAGACTCATCCTTCCCCCAACACTTGGCTCCTTTGTTTCTCTAGGTCTTTGCTGCTGTCTGACCTACAATAGTGCTCAGGGGTCCCATTCTCAACAATCTTCTCTGGTGACAACTGGGCTTAAGCACCCTTTCTGAAGCTATCTTCACATGCAAAAAGAATGCATTCTCATTGTTAAGTAACCTGGTTTGTTAAGTAATATAACTAATTAGATTCTCTCCCAGACTACAAGACTGCGAAGGGCAAGGACTTTGTTCCATCCACCCAAAACTTAATGCAAAATTGAGGAGAGGCTAAGTGGGTGTTTGCTGAAGGAATGAGGTCTCTTGTTGAAGGTAATTTCTATTTTTGAGTGTTGATAGCACCTCAGACTTCTCGTGTCTTACAATCTGCCAAGGATTTAGTCATCTGTAGGTGTCTTCTCTCCTGTTAGACCCTAAGCCCCTTGTAGGAAGGCTCTGCTTCTCGTTCAACATTGGTTTATTTTGCTTTCAGCTTTTTAGTTATGTAGGGATTACATGTTCATGCAAAATATACAAACAATACACAGGTGTGTGTAGTAAAGAGTGGTAGTAACACAGAAACTCTTGTTAACGGTTGGGTGTGTATCCTTCCAAAAGGCAAGAATCTACTTTTGCTGTTCATTTACAAACATTACACACACACGTGCGTGCACGCATGCACATGCACCCGTGCAATTCTTAACATTAAAGACCATGCTCTGCATCTTTTAATCTCGCTTTGTTTTACCACATAGGTTTATAGGGTTGAAGAGCAGAGAGGCTTTTGAGCCATCCTGCCTGGGTTAAAATCCCCAGGGTGATAATGGGCAACTTCCTTCACTGAGATCAGTACCTAGTATAAAATATATGCTTGGTAAATGTCTGCTATCCTTATTATTATTAGCTATAATCTTTGCATCCTCAGTACATTGTCTTACATATTATATGTGTTTGATGAATGAAAAGCAAATGAACAAAGAGATAAATTCTTAAAAGATGTTTCAACCTCTAATCATTAGGTACAGATTTCACCACCCCAATGCTTAACTCTCTGGCTGTAGACATATCCGGGGGTGCCCCATCAGCTCTGACTTCATTTGCTGAGATTTGAAACCCTACCCAAGATTTTGGCTGAAAGGACAGACTTTCAATCACCACTTCAGCCACAGGTGATTGCACTAAGGATAGATGCTTATGCCAGAGAGGGTTAAGCATTAGCTGGGAAGTACTTGATCCCATTTTCCTTCTTAGGAATTTGAACTAAAACACACAGAGACTGAAGTCAAACAGTCATAGGCGTATGAACTAGAGTGTCATTAGAGACGGGGGTGGGGGGTCATTCTCCACAACGTGGAACCTAAGGGCTAAATAGAGAAAGCTAAGTGAAAAGCAGGACTTTGCAAAGAGATGCTCAAAGAGAAATAGTCCCAAGAGCCAGGCAGAGGGTGAGAGAGACAATGGCAGCTTCTGTCCTGATAGGAGGTCCTGAGGCCTGGCTGTCTCAGGAGATGCTCAGATACTCTTTCGATTAACCCATCTTGGCTTGGGATTGCTTTATTGGGCCTCTGTGCCTTACAGCTAAACACCTTAGTGGCCTCCTGGTTCCTTGGTGCTTGGCTCTCAGCTTCTCCACTTTGTACCCACCCCTTGGCCTCCCTCTCCCCCTCTGTCTGCATTTCCTCTGCTTACTCCTAGACCGCACTACTTGGTTGCTGACCTTTCCCCTGTTCTTCCTACCCTTGTTCTAGCTTCCAGGCCTGCCTCACGATTCCTCCCTCCCCAGTTTCTCTGGCCACCCCTCTCCTGCCATTGACCTGGGTAGACCTAGCAAGTAGAAGAATCTAAGCCCCTGAGCTCCTACAACCCCAGCAGCTGAAGCAGAGCATTCTTTGTTGCTTTAGAAAGGGTGGAGTAGTTGAGGGAGGAGGGAATGAAGTCAAAGGAAAGAGAATCACCTTTTTCCACATTTCATCCCTCTTGCTGTTGAAGTCGCCTGTGCCTGGGATGTCCACCAGCACAACGCCTTCTGGAATCAGCTCTGATTTGGGAAGAGTCACTTCCACGTGTTTGATCAAGGGCCAAATTTGTGTCTCAGCTGACTCTCCATCCAAGTCTCTCCTCTGAGTCCGGATGTAGGGGTCCAGCTTGACAGACAGCTCTCCTGCCTGAGGAAGAAGGACAAAGTCACACATACCAGATGTTCTCCCAGTTCCTCGATCCCGGATCAGCTGTGATTTGGGTTCAGTGAAGGTACACTGAGTAATGGTAGGAAACAGCACTGGGCAACAGGCTCTGGGAGGCCTGTGATCCCACCTGCAAAGGCCCTATGCTCTGAGAGCCAGAAAGGACCCTGGAGATCAGAAAGTGCAAGCTCCTTAAATGTACATTGAAAAAAACCAGAACCAGTTAGAATGGGGCTTCAGCAAAGTTATAGCTTCACTGGATAATGAATTCAACCTCTAAATTCCATTTCAATTCTAATATTAACATTATTAATATGCAATTGTCTACATTTTGAAGAGAGGGCATTCTTCCCCCATGGCTAATGCAAACATTTGGATTACCAGAAAGCCCTGACTTTGGAAAATTGACGGTGACATAGTGACCCAATTGAAAATTAGTCTGAAATTGATCTTTAAAAAGGTTTTTTAAAATTTCTCTTCCAAATACAAAAAAAAAAAAAAATGATGTGTAGGCATTTCCAGAATGTTTTAATGATGGGGGGTGATGGGGACTTGTTCTCAGCCCATTGTCCTAGCATGGGACATATTCATGCCAACAATCATGTGTTGCAGCAAGTCTCTACCAGGATACTACTTCAAAAGACAGATGATTTGGGATATATGATGGTCATTTTTTAAAAAGATTTATTTATTTATTTTAGAGAGAGAGAGAGAGAGAGAGTGCACTGGGGGTGCAGGGGAGAAGGGCAGAGGGAGAGGGAGAGAGAGAATATCCAGCAGACCCCCTGCTGAGCATGGGGATTGATCCCATGACACTAAGATCATGACCTGAGACAAAATCAAGAGTTGGACGCTTAACCAACTGAGCCACACAGGCGCCCCTTTGGTAGTCATTGTTAATAAATATCTATAGAATAGTCCTGAAAGAAAGATAAGAACAGAAATTCTTAAGAGAGTTGAGATTAAATCAGGGGGTTTGTTGCAATCTGGGTAGGGAGTCCCAGAATTCATCAACTCTAATCAAATTAACAGGAAAATGTGAAAGAAAAGATGATAAAAGTTCTTTAAGATATTTAACTTAAAAATAAAACAGATACTGGTGGTGTCTAGGTGGTGTAGCCAGTTGGGCGTCTGACTCTTGGTTTCAGTTCAGGTCGTGACCTCATGGTCATGAGATCGAGCCCTATGTTGGGCTCCCTGCTCAGTGCAGAGTCTGCTTGGGATTCTCTCTCTCCTTCTGCCCCTTCCACTCATGGTCTCTCTTTCTCTCTCTCTCTCTCTCTGAAGTAAATAAATAAATCTTTAAAAGAATAAATAAAGCAGATACCCTAAAGACAGTGTGAAAGAAAAAGCATGTCCTTGAAAAGTCCCTTTGTATAAGAAGGTGGCTCAACCCAGTAAACTGGCTCAGGACAAACTATTCTGGAGGGCAAAAGCACAGTTTCCCTCAGTCCAGTCTAGAATCCTGGACTCAGACTTTGAATCTGTGCCCTCATGCACTGAGATGTAACTGTGGTATTTCAACTCCTAGTTTCAAGGGGTAAATTTGTAACACCAGGAAGGAATATTTCTAAATACAGGGTAGTGAAGAAATGGATACTATATTGGTACCTTGGTGTAGCTTACTTGGTGTAAGTTGTATGTATGCTGATAAAGTAACCAGTTTTGTAATCATTGTGTTTCTTTGGACATGCTCAGTCTATATTTTAGACAAAATAAGAGTGTAATTATTTTGAAGAGTGATATCCATTTAAATATAAGAAGTGGCTATTAGATGTGTTTGATTTCCTAGATTTACAAGAGCTAAGTGCCTTGAAAGATTCCATTTATTTGACCTCTAAATGTGCCTGGTCAAGTATTTAAAAATTTTGGAGAGAATGGACTATATTAAATCTGAACCATAACACAAAAAGTCTAAGGAAACTCGATTAATTATACAAGTAAGCATTAGCTACTTAAGGAGGACTCACTATGTTAACCTTGGGAGATAATTGAACATTAAAATTTAGAACAAGTTTAAGTAATTGTTCTTACTTCATACCAAGAAAATGTCAGATTTATATATAGAATAACAATATTTTAAACACGAATCTTAAGAGACAAGAAACACTAGGTTTTAAATGTATAATTGTAATAAAATTATGCATTAGTTCTACAAGTGTTTTACTTTACTTTAAAATGAAATTTAAATTTAATAAAATGAATATTGATGATAGATGTGAGGAGAGCATTGTTCTACTAGCTGCATATCCAACATCCATCCCGTGCTTCACCCATGCTAGCAGAATAGTGTTTGTTTGTTTGTTTGGGCAGTGGATTCAAATTGGCCTCAGCCAATCACAACATATTTGCTTCTCGCTTTAGACTCCCTTTCAGCTAGAAAGGCCATGTGACTGAATCCTCTGAACAGGAAATTCTACCCAGAAATTTACTGGGGATGTTTCTGAGAAAGTTTTTACTTTCCCAGGAAAGAGGAGATGTTGGTGCCAACTTTTTATCCATTGCTTTCTTCTATGAAGCCAACTGTGAAGTCTAGCACTTCAGTAGCCTCTTATGAGTATGAGGCAACAAGTCTGAGAGCAGGCCAAGGGCGCCGCAAGGTGTTGATCTTGACATTGATGAGCCACTGAACCAACCCACAACCCAGCTGCTTCCAGTCTTCTTATATAAGAAAATGAATAAATCCCTATTCATTTAAGCCATTATAAATCAGATGGTTTTGTTTTTAGACATTTGTAGCCCCAAGCATCCTTAATTAATCCTCAAGTAACTGTAAATAGTCTTCCCTGGGCAGTAAAGACCCCCCAGTCAGACACTAACATTTCTCATTTGACAACCATAAATAATGAAAAAGAACTTGGGCAGGGATACTTCTGATGCGGGTATCAACTCGTTTCCAACAAAAACACCATGCCGTGAGCAAATTTCCTCAATGGATTTGATTCTTAAACTTGTGACTCATGATAAAATGAAGAAAGAAATCTCAGGGCTACCTCTTCTGCCTTGAGGGTGATGATTCTGGAGGTGGGAATCTTTCCTTTGGGCCTTGCCCTTAGTAGCTCTTCATAGCTCTTTCTTTCCGCTCCATTTCCGTAAAACATCTGTAGCTTCCAGATGGCTTCCTCCACAGCATCGTCCCTGTCCCACATGTCTGCCTCTTCTCTGTCTGGTTCCTCTGTCCTGTGCAGGAGTTTAGTCAAGTTCTTCAGCTCCTCCTTCCACTCCTGCCAAGGGAGAGTAGGGCCAAGCCCCTCATGACACAGACATGGAAAACAAGGAAAAAGGGAGTCCATTCCTGGAGGAGCTGCATATTCAGAAACTCTAACATCATGGAATCCAGCAAGGAATCATCTAATCCAAACCCCTTGTTTTGTCATTCAGGAAAAAGGGGCCCAAGGAGGGAAATGGCTTGCCCAAAGCCCCATAACAACAGTGATAGGATGCAGGCTAGAACCCCCATCTTGCTCTACGGAACTTTCTCATTCTGTACTATGTTCCTTTCATTTGACAAAAGCATGAACTATATCTACAAGGAATATTATATTAATCTCTAATAGAGAAGGAAAAGGAAAGAAAGAAAAGGAAGGAAAGAAGAGAGGGAAGGAGGAAAGAAAGGAGGGAGCAAGGGAGGAAAACAGGGGTGGGAAAAAGGAAGGAAGGAAAACAGGGATGGGAAAGAGGAAGGAAGGGAGGAAGGGGACAATTACCTGGTCAGAGAGAAGGTGGATTTTGGCCTCATACTGCTCACAGCAGCCTGAGCTCACTTGTACAATACATGACGTACATATACTTTCTCCAGATACTGGTAGAAACATTGCTTGCTGGATGATAGCATTGATCAAGGAGCTCTTCCCAGCCCCTGTGCTTCCAAATAATCCAATGTAGATTGGGTCCAATGATGGTTTTTCAATCAAGGCAAGAAGCCTGTTTCTAAATTGATTTTTAAATGCACATGGTCAGGGTCATCAAAGCATAGTGGGAAGAATACCAAAATAGAACATGAAGGAACTGAGTTGCAATCCAGGCAAATCATACATCTTTTTGAATCTCTGCGACTTTCTTGATCAGAAGGGAGTATTAGTCCCCGTTTCCTACACAGAGTCGTCATGAGCCTCAAAGGAGATTATGCAAAAATACATGGTAGTGATAATTCTATACAAACTCTGTAATGCCTATCTGGATGCAAAGCATCCTCTTTTGTGTTCTATGGAAATTACATAGTCTTGATCCTAGAAATAAATTTTAGGCAGAGGTACAGTATTACTGGGAGCAACCTGGAGATTTTTGGGAGTAAGAGATTCAGCCCGGGCACCAAACAAGTGCTTCAAGTCAGCTCAGCCCAGTGGTTGAGGCCACAGGCTAGAGTTTCACACAGCGTGGGTTGGATTCAGGCCCTTTCGTTTACCAACAGTACGACCTTGGTCCATGTCTTGGTCTCTCTAAGCCACAAGTTCAGTAAAATTGGGAAGATAAAAATAGCTCCTACTTTATAGGGGTATTGGGACAAGTAAGTGAAATTCGATATATGTAAAGTATTTAACAGGTTACCTAGCAAGTGTGACAACACAATGAATGTCAATAATCAATCAATCAATCAATAATAATTAATAGCCCATAGCTACATAAATGTTCAGCCTTCTTTGCTTACTTTCTAACTGAAAATTCCTTTTCATTGATGGAGAAAAGCACTTACGATCACCTAAGGAAAGAATGGATGAAAGATTTGATGGGGAGCTGATATCAGACTCACATGAGATATTTGACTCCATTAGGAATGCTGTCATCCAGGAAAACAGACTGAATAAGTTTCTGATAAGTGTTGCTCAAAACCCTTCTGGTCCGTGACTCTAATTTTTCATCTGGAATCAACAGGGATGTATTAGCCAACACATACCTGGCAGAGATGAAGTACTACATCTCCAGAAGAGGAATGTGCTCAATACCACACAGAAAGGAAAGAAAGAAATGAAATGAAATGAAAAGCCAATTAAATATGATAGCAAGTTATCTGACACTAGCAATGATTGCTCATGGGAGATAGTAATTATTGATTATGAGAGCCTCCCAAGGGCCCAGTCTGCTCCGAAACCCCTTGTAACAGAAGTCAGCATATCTTTGCTGTGGGCTATAGCCCTTCTAGATTCTTCTCTCCTGTGGTCATAAAAAGAAAAATTGCCAGGGCATCATAGAAACACTCACCAAGGCACCAAACCAACCATTTTCACAGTCATTGTCCTAATCAGGAAGAGGTTATTTTGACAACAACCCTCCTATCCAGAGACTCATAGAGATGAACTGTCAAATTATAGATCCCTGCCCCAAGGCCTCCTTTTCTGGATCAGGATCATTTGAAAATATTTCATCCTTCTTTCCAACTGAACATTCTCCTCCTTTGAGCATTTTCACACATTTGGAAAAGAACAGAGCCACATTAATACAAGCCACACATCAGGGTCATAATACTCACATTCCTTTTTTTTTTTTTTTTTAAGATTTTATTTATTTATTTGACAGACAGAGATTACAAGTAGGCAAGAGAGGCAGGCAGGAAGAGAGAGGAGGAAGCAGGCTCTCTGCGGAGCCGAGAGCCCGATGTGGGGCTCAATCCCAGGACCCTGGGATCATGACCCGAGCCGAAGGCAGAGGCTTTAACCCACTGAGCCACCCAGGCGCCCCAATACTCACATTCCTTAAGAGCACTTTGTTCCACAGAGGGAAATGCGCGGAACCGCTGGTCTCTATCTGAACGTCTTCTTTTCTTCATTGGTTCTTTAAATACATCATCGTCAACTAGAGATAAACAGAGGTTATATAAAATTAGAGCTCTTAGGCACAGTATACTTGCCTGACCTCTATCAGAACACAAACCCAAAGAATCTAAGAATTCTTTTGCCACCTCTGTATGCCTGTAAACTCCTATCAGAGATAGGCACTGCTGGACCATTCTAGTCTGGTTCTTACTTCCCAGAGTCATAGGACTTCGCATCTAGCTGCAAATGCAGTCTAACGTATCTCCCCAGGACATATGTTGAAATGAAATGAAAAGTCTGGAAATCCCGAGCCACCAAAATGGCTGGATATTCTTCACTAAACGCCAACTGTGTACAGAGAAGCCCAAGATGCAACTAAGTGTGGGGTGAAGGAAGGCCTCTAGAAGTCTCTCCAGACTGGGAAAGAAATTGATCAGGAGCAGAATGCAGAAAAAAGAATGGACCACATGACCAGGGCAAATCACTTCTCCTTGACTACCTGTAAGATGAGAAGCCTGACAAGAATATACTCAGTGTAAGAGCATGGGAGGGTGTTCTATCAGTGGATGCCCTTCCAAGGTTAAATTTGGAAGAATTTTCCCCCTTCCTCACTGAAAGGCATTAGCAGCTGCTTCCTTACATAAAAAAGAAGAGAAATCCCCAAGCAGCAAATCTTTGTAGTACTCCAGAGATTTATTCCCTTTAATGGTTTCCCTCGGTTATGAAGTGAAGGGCTGGTAGGATCCATAATCATCAGAAGGGTACGACCAAACATTGTGCTTTGGATGTGTCTTAGAAAATACCCACTGGTGGTCTCCACCTGGTTAGAAAAGGGCCATAGGTGGGTCTTTGGAGTCAAGGTGATTGGCAAGGATCCTAACCCAGTGTTCTTAGAATCAGTTTAGGCCTTGGGAAATGGCCATGAGAGTGATGAGGGAGCAGAAGACTGGCTGAGGACAAAGCAAAAGGCTCACACCTTGCAATCTCCCCCTCACCCCCACCACTCCTGGGTGGGACAAATGTGACATTCTTTAGGAATCTCCCAACTATCTTGATGTTAATGGCTTGCTAAAAGGGAAAGACAACCTTGATCAAGCCGCAAGACCTCTGGTATCCCGGCACCTTGTAGGCCCTCTTTAGCATATGAAATCTCCGTTGAAACCTCCCTTTCCCTCACCTTCCCCCAACCGCATGGTACCTAACCTGCCATCCCTCACAACCTGGGGCAGCAGCTCTTCCTGCCCACGGGTCCTGTCCCCATGCTTTATAAACCACCTTTTTGCACCAGAGACATCTTAAGAATTCTTTCTTAGCCATCGGCTCTGGACCTTGCCCCACCGAACCTCACCTAGATTCTAGAACTTCATCAAGATGAACCCTTAAAGTTGATTCCCAAGAGTCATGGCACTCCAAGCTCATCCAGGAGTGTGAGGCCCCAAAACTGAGCATGACATTGAGAAGTCATCTTCCATGAAGAACCGCAGAGAAGATACCCAGGATGGCAGCCTGCTCAGAACGCCTAACCTCCACCATTGGGCTCCAGACAGCAGATGTTCCAGATGGTTTGGCTGTCCTTCCCCCTTGGTTCAGCCTTATGGCTTCCAGCACAAACCCTGCCATGTCCTGGAGCCTGCTCACCGCCCAGAAAGTATTGCAGTGAGGTTGGGTGCTGTTTGCCAAAGCCCGACTCTGAGCCTCCTCATGCTCCCACAGTGACAGGGAGTTGAAAGAGCTTGTATTCCAGACCCTTCTGCCTCAGACATTTTAGCTTCTTTAATTGAGCTCAACTCAAAGAATTCATCATGGCTTAGTTGAAGGACTGCCTAGAATTAAATATCAAGCTGCTGGCTCAGTGGTTGGAACTGGAGAAGAAGCAGGGAAAAAAAAAGAATCTACCACTTAGGCCTCCCTAGGCCAGCGATAGGCCGAAGAATATTTTAGTCCATGTTATAAAAGGTGTCTCAGGATTCCAAGAAGTTTCTACAATCTGCTGAGGAAAGTGAAGGATGTCGGGCTCTGATCTCGACTTTGGAACCCAGGAGCTTAAAAGGTGTCTCAGGATTCCAAGAAGTTTCTACAACGTGCTGAGGAAAGTGAAGGATGTCGACTTTGGAACCCAGGAGCTCTTTTTCGTAAACTATAGGTACATAGTATCTTAGCCACGTGTATAAAACAAGGGATGGGTCCATGCATCCATGGCATTTATTTCCATTTTATAAGCACTGGCAATTAATGTGATAAAAGATCGGGAGCTTATTTCTCAACTAAAGCAAAGGCTAAGAAGTCAGATGAAACAGCAAGGTTTAAACTTTGTCTTCAGTTTCTGAAAAGAAAAGCCACTTGGAAAGGAGAAAGTATACTATCTGGGATTTAGACCATTTCAGGTTAGTCTTGCTATATAGATTGTAACTGGAATGATCTGGTCTGAACCGGCTACACCTCATCTCATTCCCTATAACTGCTCAAGCACTCCCTCCCGCTTTTCAGCATTTTAAAGGGAATCACCCAAGAAAAAGAGCCCTGGGAGTGGGAGGGCATCCGAAGCTAGTCTACTGCTGCTGTTGCTTCTTGCTGCCACAAGGTGTCGCGTTTGAAATGTCCCTAAAAGCCGGACAAAGGATACCGGCTCGTTAATCCCGGAGTGCGGCGGGTCTTCCAAGCAAGCTCTCTCAGGGCTAAACTCAACCAAGGGAGCCCCAGTGTTATCTTTCTTTCCATTTACGTGCCCAGCCATGCCTCGGATGCTAGCCACCACCCCACTGACTCAGAAACTGCGTACCCCTGGCCCCTAAGGGTTTTCATCCCCTGTGAGTGAGGAATTTTTCCTCTCAAAACACAAAGGAGGTTATACTCCCTGTTTTCTGTACCTAGGGATTACTCTCCTGCATCCTCCTAGGGAAGGCTCCCTCCTTGGCTCTGGGGCCCGACATCAGCCTTCTAGGGAGGGAGGCCGCCCTCACTGACTCCAAAGGCATTCACCCTATAACTCCCCTTCTAAGAAAACCACCTGATATGATTCCAGGGGCCTTATATTGCCCATTCCAAGAGAGACTACCCTCAGAAAATCCAAGATGGCTTTCTGGAACCTCCTTTTAAAAGGGAGGGGAGTGGGGCACCTGGGTGGCTCAGTGGGTTAAGCCTCTGCCTTCAGCTCAGGTCATGATCCTGGGGTTCTTGGATGGAGCCCAGCATTGGCCTCCCTGCTCAGCCGGAAGCCTGTTTATCTCCCCACCCCCCCACCCCCGCTACCTGCCTACTTGTGATCTCTCTCTTTCTCTCTCTGTTAAATAAATAAAATCTTTTGAAGTTTTTTAAAAAAATAAAAGGAAGGGGAGCCTGGATATACAAATATAATTGCTGGTTGGACAGGCCACTACATTATGAATAGTTCTATTTTAAGCTATTGTTGAAATAATTGACATTCATTCACTATTATACCGTGTCATAAGAAAGCAGCTTTTGAATAAAGATGAAGGAACACTGACTATAATTAAATACAGTCTCAACCCATCAGCCCTCTATTATATAATGATAAATAGGAACTATTTACTCCATCAGGGGATGTTGTAGGGATATTACCTGGATGTGGCCCCTGACCCACAAAATCCTCAGTGTCTTCCATTTCCTGATAGGCAAACGTCTGCTTTTGTCCACTTAGGAGAACCAGCCTGAAAATATATACAAAGGACGAGGGTGGGGGGCAGGTGGATAACAGCAGAAATTGTAAGTACAAAAAGCAAAAGAGTAACAACAACAACAATGTGTCAATCTGCTTATGCTTTGTTTCTCCAACTAGATTCCAAGCTTCTAAAGGCCAATAGCCATTCTAATTTGTCTTTGAATTCCTCACAGCACCCATATACTACATGTCTATTTAAACACGACAAAGATCCATGTTTGGCCATTAGTTTTCAATTGTAGTTACATCTGTAGAAATTTAAACTGATATTATCTGAGATCTTTAAGACAGTCCACTCTGAAATCACAATCAGCCTCTGGAGACCAGAACCATAAAGGTGAGATGATAAGGTTTTGCTCCTTTGGGTGACATCAAGGGCCCAATTGGGTAAGCTTCAGGTTCAGTTGTTTTTAGTTCCAGCAGGTCTCAGCAAGAATCTGGAAGATGGATGGAATATTTGATATTCCCAGGGTTCCCTGGGGTTGCTTTGGAAGCTACTGAGTGGGGCAGTAGAGATGCGATACCCAGGTTCTCTGGATTTTCTTTTTTTTTTTTTTTTTAATATTTTATTTATTTACTTGAGAGAGAAAGAGAGAAACAAAGCACAAGCAGGTGGAGAGACAGAGGAGAGGCAGAAGCAGACTCCCCGCTAAGCAGGGATTCCCGATGTGGGGCTCGAGCCCAGGACCCCAGGATCTGTCGGAGGCAGACACTCAACCAACTGAGCCACCCAGACGCCCCTACTCTGGGTCTTCCTTGCCACCTCACTCCACTTCAACGAAGAACACACCCCTACTTGGCTCTATACGCAACCCCTCAGTTTGGGGCATCTGACGGGTTAGGGGGTGGGGGAAGAGAGGCACACCCCAAAGGAGAAGTGTCAGACCCCACCTGTCTGCAGTCCGCAGGCTGATAGAGCTTGGGCATGGAGGGAGAACGGAACCCAGAGAGGACCAGAACAGAGTGCACAGCACACTGGGTAGAGGTGTGCTATCTTAGAGCTTCTTCGTCTCCACACGTAGAGAGGAATTTGAGCAACACACGTGAGGAGCACCTGAAGGGCTTCCTCTCCTTATCTGATGTCACTGTGTGGATCACTCAGCCGTGTACTTCAAAAGCAGACAGTCACTGGCCCTTTTGAAAAATGCAAAATCTGATCTGTCAACTGCCACTAGCCCCCTGGGCTGTTAAGAGTCAAAACAGCCTCTTCTGCCTACCTTGGCTGGTGGATATTAACCGGCCAATGGTTTCTGTACTTGGTGGGTGTTGGCTGGATGTGGTGGAAATTCCTACTATGTGCAAAGTCCTGAGGTTTAGGTGGAGTTCCTCATCTCTCTATTCCTGATCTTGAGGCTCCCTCTCAGGATTCTCAAAACTCCTTACAGTTCCCCAAGGCAGGGTCTCCTATCCACGCAGTTTAGTGTACGCTGTTCCCTATGTGGAGTACCCTTCCCTTGTTTCTCCCAGTAAATTCCAACTCTTCTTTTAAGGTCCTGTTTTAGCATATCCTCTGTGAAATTGTCCTGATTCCCAGTCATTCCCCTCTTTTGTCACCACTGCTCCAAGCACACCTCTGTTATAATTCTTTCTTGCCCCTTCCTCCTTTCTGAACCATGATCTATGGAGGTCATATCCACATTTGTTTCAGTGTTGTGTTTCCATCATGAAGTACAATGACTGACAATAAATACTGAATGAATGAATGAATGAATGAATAAAATAATGGATGGGAAGCTTCTGATGAGATTCTACACCATAGGATGTTTTAAGCCAATTAGTTTTTTTTTAATTTTTATTTAAACCAGTTTAGTTTTTTATATAATTAGAGTCCCAGCTTTAAGAGTAAAGCAAAGAGTAGGAACAAAAGAACAAGTATGCAAATGGAGCAGCATCAACCACGAAGAGTGTTGGGAATCCTGAACTCAATAAAGGGATGACATGGCAAAGGCAGAAGATATGGACAGGACTTCATAGTTGTCTCCAAATACATGACCTTAGAGTTGCTTATACAAGAGGGATGATACATGTTTTCTGTGATCCCAAGGGAGGACCACGAGGGCTCTTAGTTTCTGTGGAAGGCATATTTAGCTTAACATTCTCTAGTAGTAGAGCTGTCCAAAATACAAGGAGCTCCTTTAGAAAGTAATGAATTTTCTGCCACTAAAGGTATCTAAAGATATGACCTCATAACAATGGCAACAGACTAGATGTATTATAAGACCTCTTCAAATCCCAAGATTCTATGTTCTTACTTGAAATGTTCACCAGCAAAGCTAGTTGTAGAAGTCCTCTGAGAGGTCACAAGAATTCACGAGAGACGCAAGCAGCTCCTGGTTTGTAATGCTGAGTTGGAAGTGCTAAACTACATCAAAACCTAGCTAAGATAGGAAAACAAATGGGTAGATGAGCTCTAATGTGTGCAAGTACATGGCAGTGCCTATCAATGACCCATTTTTTAAAAAGTAGGCTCTATACCCAACATGGGGCTCGAACTCATGACCCAAAGATCAAGAATCATGCTCTACCGACTGAGCTGGCCAGAGGACTCCCCTCATCAATAACTTTAGATACAGAACTAAGAATTACCCTAAGAAAGAAACCGATCTGTTGTTTTCTGAAGACAGTTGCTCAATGAGCCACAGCCACAGTCACATAAAATGCTAGGCACTGTATCATAGGGAGTGCTGGAAACAAAACAAAATATATGGTCCTAGCAATAGACAAATCCACTGTAGAACCTCTAGAATAACTTGTGTTCTGGTAGCCACAATCCAGGAAGAAATAAGGAAGTCAGATGAAGTCCAAAAAACTAACAATTTGGTAAGCGTTACCACCGTACAAATGCTGAGATGAAGGCCCTTCGGTCTGAGAAAGGAGATTTAGAGGAGAAGCAGACATGTTCACCAAATCCTGGGCACCGGTTTTGACTTCCTTTAGGGTCCCAGCAACTTCAGTTCATCTAACTTCATTTATGAAATCAACAGTACACAATGGCCAGCAAGGGCTGTTATCATGTAACTATCTGTGTTTGGGCTGGGTTTAGCTGCTGCATGCAGCAGAGACACCAAACCATTGGTCTCCCAATGCCGGGGCATCTATGGTACCAGTACATGAGTAATTTGTGATCCCTAAATGAAATGTGGAGAAACTGGAAGTGATTTGCGTTATGGTGTGGCGAATCAGGCTTCCAATTCCTTCTGCCAGTGTTCAAAGACTGGCAGGAAGAGATCATTTGATCGGCAAACCAAGACACTGGAAAGTGGGAAGGGATCAGCAAGAAAAAGGCTGAGAAAGTAGAATGAAAGAAACACCGCGCACTTAAAAGGAAAGATTTAAACAAATATATCAATAGGGAGGGTAGTATGCGGCAGACAGTGAGGATCTAGTCACTGAGCTCAACTCCGTGATGGTAGGAAGGGCAGTAAGCTACCAAGCAGGTGTTGTGGAACGTACAGCTCTGGTTTTGCTACCAGTGAAAGGAGCTGGTAGCACTTCAGCCAAGTCATTTTACCACCCTGGGTCTTAGTTTCCCCGTCTATGAATGAGAGATTGAACTAGTCCTTCTCGGATTTAGTTGGATGCCAAAAGGATTAAAATTCTTAATATGAAATGTCAACTGCCGTGTAATTAGGGCTCCCGTGTAATCAAAAGTAGCACAACCGAGATTCCTGTAATTTCGGGATCATTTCACTTTCAGGAGCAAACAAGCCACGGGGGACACAGTCCTTCCTCAAATGATGTAGGCATCGACTTTACCCCCAAGAAGAGACAGTGGTGATCGTTGCATTTTGTGAAAGTTTGGCTGCTGCAGAAAAGCAACTGAAAAGAGTTCAAATTGATTGCTCATACAGGCAAGGTTTTCACGTGTGGTTTATTTCACCTGTATTGCAACTATGCGGTTAGCACTGAAGTTTTGATTTTAGTACTTATTTACATTTATGTGCACTGAGCCTAAGAATAGCATCTTTTAAATGAGACTCTCTGCATATTTAGCTTGATATGGGAAAGTTGCACAGAACACATTTCCTGTTAAACAACTCTGACTTTTGACAGTTGTTCTTGCTTCTCCCACTCTCCCTCTCTTGTTTGTGTTTACTTGATGTCTTTTTTTTTTTTTTAACATCAAATGCACAAATGCAATAGTTATTCCTTTACTAGAACATCTTCATATAGTGGAAGTAAGTAAAGAATGCTCCTGAGCTCCTTCTTCTGCAGATACGAGCAATGAGGCCCAGGGAGGGTAAGGAACTTGTCCAAGGTCAGAGCAACTCCGAGTTCACTGTTCTCTCCATTCCACCAAGCAGCCTCTCACAGGTACTATATAAATAAAGCCTCTGGAGCTTAAATGCAGGAGAAGAGAGGGAACAGCACTCCCTTCAAATACATGACAAAGGCATTTTGCGAATGAAGGCTATTGTGTAGGACTAAGACAAGCTACTCAATAAAATTGTACTTGGGGCTCAAACTGAAGCTTTAGATTGAACATTCATTCTTCAGTGCCCTCAGAAGTAAAACAAGCCAGTGTGTGTGTGTGTGTGTGTGTGTGAGAGAGAGAGAGAGAGAGAGAGAGAGAGGTGGGCACGAGAGACTGAGTAGAATACTTAAACTGCATTCCGTGTCTGATGCAGAATTGAATGTGCATAAGAATTGCAAAATCCTGTCCTTGTCCCCCTAGCTCTTCTCCTTCAGCCAGAATCTCAGCTCACCCCTCCTTGATTCACAGCATTAACCCTTCCTGACATGATTCTTGTTATCCTTGCATTTCTGTCTCCTACCCCCACCCCCACCCCCAAGGAAGCACTAATAGGAAAACATCAAAATGCCTAACTTAATAAACTTCCTTTACGGGGCATTTTGATCATTAACTGGTTTACTTTCTACTTTTGTTGACTGTAGGAAGGGCTTGGTCCATAGTAAGCACTGAATAAATATTTGTTGGAGGA